CGAAAAAAACCCATTAAAATTTTAATGGCTTTTTTTCGTCTGAATGCCATCCCGGCCAATCAGATCTCTCGAAATATTTTTTCCATTCCCATTTAAGTTGGGTTGTGCAATCAGAAAAAAATGTACAGGACGTTTGTAAGTGGATGGATATGCTATTTTAATGACCTGAATTAAAAGTCCCATCAAGTGTATTTCTACTGCAAAGTGAGCCTATGCATGATTACGGCATACGGTAGTTAACTACGGGACACAACTACGTTGCTTTCGGCTTAAAAATTAGGATTGCTCAATTGTTTTTGGGACGACAGGATCCCAAAAACAAATTGGGTAATCCAAATTTTTGACATTGTTTTTAATTTAGAATATCATTTAAATGATACAATTTAAGAATACACTTATGTAGAATACTACTATATTATTCTGGAGTACGGATTTTTTCTTATTGTAATATTTTGTTTTGCTAACCAGAAGTAGTATTTTATGAGATTTGATCTTTTGTCGTTGAGTACTAAGAGTTCTGCTTCTTGCTGATTGGCGGGGATGGCATTCATTCGGAAAAAAACCATTAAAATTTTATGGGTTTTTTCGTCTGAATGCCATCCAACGGGCAAAGCGACATTAAGGCGTACTCAAGCCCCAAAGTATGCTACTACAAACCGTCCTCCGTGCCCGTTCTCCTCTTTTGCGCAGTTACGCAGCTGTATCCACTCGATCTCTTTCAGCTCTAGTTGACTCGAAATGGGTGCGCAACGCACAGGACTCTGGTAAACCGGAGCTACTGCTTCTGGACTGCAACCACCCAGCCTCGTACCCTCGCGGGCATATCCCCGACGCTATTCCCCTCACGTTGGCCTCATCATTGCTCAAGGACCCGACGCCGCAGTCTACGGGCGTCGTGAGCCCACAGCTGTTTGCAGATGTAGTGAAGCAACTTCAGGTCCCCAAACACGCGACACTTGTGTTTTATGACGACGAAATGAGTCTCAAGGCCACGCGCATGTGGTGGGTTTTCCGTCACTATGGCTTCCCAGTCGAGCAACTTAAGGTGCTGGACGGAGGTCTCACGCAATGGGTTGCTGATGATAACGCAGTAGAAACGGGGGAGCTTGAAAACCGAGAAACGCCTTCAGCGCTCTGGACGCAGCCTGTGGACACGCAGAAGCTCGTCGGCTTTAAGGCGGTGCAGGAAGGTATTGCGGACCCTGCCACACAGTTCGTGGACGCGAGATCCCCTGGCGAGTACTGGGGTGAGGATGCCAATGGCAATGCACGCACAGGCCACGTCCCTGGAGCTGTTAACTTCAATTGGATGGAAGGCGTGGATTTTACCCAGAACGGAAAGTTTAAGAGCAAGGAAGAGTTCGACAAGGTGTTTATGGATATTTTCCACCTCGACAAGGAGAAACCAGTTATGACGTACTGCCAGCGTGGAATTCGGGCTGCCCACACGGCATTTGCTCTGGAGCAGGTGATGGGGTTCAAGGACGTCAAGATCTACGAAGACTCGATGCTGCAGTATCTTAACCGGGACGATTCCGAAGTGGTGAAGCAGTAAACTGGTTGTTAGCTGCGTAGAGATTGCGGGATCTACACAACAAGCTGAATAAATACTGTGGAAAACTCGTACTGTAGTGGCTAAAGTTACGAGTTCATAAGAAATCAGGTGGCTTGAGATCCTAATTGTAGAAACCTCTTCGACCGGGAATACTAGAAGCTGCGAAGTTTGCGTGTTGATGCTTACTTGAGCAAGCCACAGACACCACACCACCTCTCGGCACATAATTGGTAGCAGGCACTGTGGGATGAACTGGTCTCCTTCAATGTTACTAGCGAGGAAGACAACAACGTTTCCAACTTGACGTGTGTTGTTCAGTGCCAACCAGGCATTTCCCCGCATAACGTCCAAGCTGGTGTTTGACGTCATTCACGAAAACTATTCACTGTGATTCATCCAACGGTTGGAATACCATTCTGGCGGAACGATGCCAATAGCAGTGTTCGCCGCGACCACGAAACTGCGAAGATTATCTTCGTTCCAGTCCAGCAAAGTCGCGCCATAGAGACCGTTATAAGCAATACAGGCACACACCTAAAGGAAATTTTTTAGTCACAAAAAGGAAATGATCTTCAACTTAACCTCTGAAAACACATAATTAAATTATTTTTGAACTTGATAAATAAAGATCGCGCTTTTGACAAGCATGGATGATCAGAAAGCTACTCGAAGTGTGGTGCTGGTCACTGGTGGTACGGGGCTCGTGGGTCGAGCGCTGCAGGACGTCGTAGCATCTCTAGGCTCTCCGCAGGACGAGTGGCACTTCGTAGGCTCGAAAGACGCTGATCTGCGCGACCCCCAGCAGACTCGCGAGCTCTTTGAGCGTGTACGACCAACTCATGTGCTGCACCTGGCCGCGCTCGTGGGTGGTCTGTTCCACAATCTATCGAGAAAAGTGGACTTCTTCCGAGAGAACATGGCCATCAACGACTCGGTGCTGCAGTGCTGCCAACAATTTGACGTGAAAAAGCTCGTTTCGTGTCTCTCCACTTGTGTCTTCCCAGCCGAGACTGCATACCCTCTTGACGAGACAATGCTGCACAATGGTCGAGCTCATAGCTCTAATGAGGGCTACGCAATGGCCAAGAGACTCGTCGACACGCTCAACCGCTGCTACGCCGATCAATTCGGATGCAACTTCACTTCCGTCATCCCCACCAACATTTACGGACCACACGACAACTTCAACGTTGACGACGGACACGTAGTTCCTGGACTTATTCACAAATGCTATTTGGCTAAACGAGATTCGATGCCATTTGTTATTTGGGGCAGTGGCAAGCCACTGAGGCAGTTTATCTACAGTCATGACGTGGCGAGGCTGATGCTGTGGACGTTGGACCACTACGACAGTGTGGAGCCTCTCATTTTGTCTGTGGACGAAGAGGACGAAGTGTCGGTTGGTGACGTGGCGCAGAAGATCGCTGCTGCAATGGATTTCAAAGGAGAGATCGTGTTCAATACGAGCAAGGCAGACGGTCAGTTCAAGAAGACAGCGAGCAACGCTAAGCTGCGTCGTTTACTGCCGGATTTTCAGTTCACACCGATCAGCAAAGGCTTGCAGCAGACCACGGCCTGGTTCGAGGAAAACTACGAGAATGCACGCAAATAGTGACAAATAACTTGGTTCTTGTTTTATTGTCACCCCAAGGTGACGAATTGCGAACAGAAGTTGGCAGACTCCTGCTGACCTGCACCGAAATCGTGCACTCTCCACAACGCTGGGCTATATATATTTTTAACCTACCAGGTTGATTTTGCGTTGTTGCTGTGTTCGTGCATGTGTTCCTGAAGAATTTAGTTCCGCGAAGTTTAGGAACCAGTTGCATAGCTAGTGAGGTTTATCACAGAGAGTTCAATTGTTGCAAAACCCTCGGTAAACGCAGAAAAAGTTTCAATATTCCGGCCACTAACTTTTCGAAATCGACTGCATGTGGACGAAAAGTCCATCAAACCGAAAGACACCAGTTGCTTCTGCAGTCTCTTTCTGTGTGAAGATAGTGCGTCCTTGGTTGTTCGGCATTGAACACGAGTAGATTAGTGCATTTACTGGGCAGAGTTGGTCATTATAAAATCTAAACACCAAGAGGTGATTCTGACAGAATCATTCTGTAAACAAAACGAGATGCTCGGGGCAAATACTTTGGTAGCAGAGGTCTGCGTCCATCTGAAGTTATTCAAATAGCAAGCGGTAACCAAATACTGCTGATAGTTGCGATGTCTTACAACTCATCGTGGGCATCTCCGTAGTCGCCATCCGTCGCGCCGCCATCGTCGAACGCGTCAACGTGTCGGCTGCTGTGCAATGCGTGCACAATGTCGTTCTCGATCTCTGACGGCGACGTCGTCGTTCCGTACCGCTTGAACGGTTCGTGGTTCACAATCAAAAACTTGGTGAAGTTCCACTTGATGTCATTGGTGACGAATCCATCCAGTTTCGTCTTCAAAAACTTAAACAGAGGATGTGCATTTTCACCATTCACGTCCACCTAAGCAACAGTAAGGACAGTATCAGAAACCCACCGCTCTTTGTCCTCCTCCATTATCACCAACCTTAGCGAAGAGCGGAAACGTCACGTGATATTTCTCCTTCGTAAATTTTAGAATATCCTCAGCTGTTCCAGGCTCCTGACCGCCGAACTGGTTGCACGGGAAACCCAGCACCGTGAAGCCTTCGTCGTGGTATTTTTCATACAATTCCTGCACAAACAGACAAGTATTTCCGTGTTTTAACTCACTTGAACCGTGGCTACGTAGTATTCGACTGCATCACCTGCAGCTCGCGGTAGTTCTTGTCCGTGTATCCGCATTCGCTGGCCACGTTGACCACGAGAATGACCGGGAAGGCGTTGAACTCTCGCATGGATACCTGGCGACCATTAAGATCCGGGATCGTAAAGTCTAGGAACGACGCTTTCTCTCCATTGCAGACTCCAAGCAGAGCAACAGCCAGCGTCACCAGCAGCAACAACATGAACCTCATTATCGGATCTCTTTGTGCAATGCGTTGTGTTTTCAACACCAATTTCATCTCTCCTTCCATTGGTTCAAAATTGATTTTGGAATTATCCACCAATGAACATGCAGTCTAAAATGGCGCGGAAGGGTTTGGTTCAAAAGCGCGCGCACCCGCCATCGAAGCGGAGGGTGGAAGTGCAACAATCGAGTGCGCACTCATGGCGTCGCAGGACGATGACCATCACTCTTCCAATGGCAACCCGCGCCCAGCAGTGCCCGCCCAGCTTCTGGCCAAGAAGGCGGCGCCGCGCAGTAGCGACCAGGTACGGCGCAACCGCATGAACATGGAGAAGATGATCATGAAGAACGTGGCAGCCTCGCGCAATAGCACCAAGAACCGCGCGCAGCAGATCCTGGAGGCTCTCAAGAAGAAGCGTCAGCAGCAGGAGGACACATCAGGGGCCAAAGCGGACGAGACTGAGCGTTCCGCTAAGCGCCAGAAGACGTCGCCCCCGCATGGAGACGCAGCAGCCAGAACAGCCGTCGCTGCAGGCATCTTGTCTCCCGCTCGACGCGCCGCTGGACCGAGCTTTACGAGCCCCGCACGACGTCATAACCACCCGCTAAACTTAAAGAGCCCCACGCTGCAGCAGGCGAGCCCATCGCGGACCAGGAGCGTGAACCCGCTGCATCTTTCGAGTCCGGCCCGACCACCGAGGAGCTCAGTGCTGGCCAGTCCAGCGAGGCCGAAACGCAGTAACACGGCGAGTCCGCTCCGACGCAGTGAGTTTTTGACGAGTCCCTTGAGACACAGAGCCTCAGCGTCGCCTAAGAGACCGCTGGTGTTCGATGACACCACAACAGATGCTGCTGCTTCTTCGACGAGAATCAATGGACACCCGCCGCTGTTGTCGTCCGCATTGGACCAAGTGGAAGCTGCACCTGCAGCCAAGGCGACGAAGGCGGTGAGAGCAACCAAGTCACCGTTCCAGTCGTTCCAGGCCAAGTTTAATAAGTCGCCAGCTAAACCTGCAAGAATGACGAGTAGTCCAGGGACTGGAGGGGATGCAGTACAAGCGATTGTACCTCGTAGTGGCCCCATGATGGTGGATCTGTCACATCCAGATGACGCGAGCTCGGAACAATCTACAGCAGCTATTGCAGCTGCATCGTCTGGCTCAACTGCTCCATCAACTGCATCAAGCGCTGCTGTTAGTAGCGATGATAGTACTTCTAGTGGTGCCGCACCACGTACGATATCGAGTAGTGCAGGAGCATCAAATTCTGCAGCTGACCGGCCTTTGAACACCCCGACACCGCCACCGAAGCCCGTACGCAAGTTGTTCACGTCGTCCAGACCAGTTGTTGCTCAGAGGTCGATCTGTTTCTCGACGGAGAGCGTAGCTACGGCGTTGGACGTGACTCCAGACGGCGAGATTGTTGTGGTTGGCTTCACAGACGGCTCAGTTCGACTTTACGAAATGGATAGCAGTGTCCCGAGTGACCGTCACGGATATCTGCTCGGCCACCTTGACGAGCAATCTTCACAGAGATCGGATAATGTGCATATGCGTGTGAAAATCTCCCCTGATGGCCGCTATATTTTTGCTGGTGATCGACAGCGTCGGCGCGTGGTCATGAGTATCAATCTGGACCATTATCGCAACGAAAAGGGTGGGTCCTGATGTAGAAGCTCTTGATAGCACTGTGGTTCTCACTCATGCTTGAATTTTTAGATGGTGATGACGAAGATTTCCAGCAGTTTCAGAAACATTTTCATGGCAACTCGAAGCTTCGGGTGAGCTATTGATTATGTGGATGTCGTATAATGGTGAATCCTAACTCAACGTTTGCTACTTCTCGTTTTGTAGGGCTTTGCAGATGTGACTACGTATGTTCCACCCGTTGGTTCTTCAGTCCAGGAGCAGCAAGAAAGTGCGCGCAAAAGGTAGAAATCCACTGTTGTCGTATGCCCGCGATACGATGGCTATCTCACTTTCTGACTTGCTTTGACTCGCCAATTGCAGATCTGCCTACTACATTCTAACTGGTCTTGGTGTTGGCAACCTGAATTTATGGCGCTTCGTTGAGCCTGAGCGATATGATCAGGAGCCTATTTGGGAGCACTTGCAAAATTTTGTAGCTGGAGGTAACACAGCAATGATGGCGGCGTTTCTGCCATCAAGCGCATCTCCAGGTGTATTAGCGATTGCAGCGGTTTGTCGAGACAAGAATCTCCGTGTGTGGCCGATGGAATACACAAAAACGAACTCTGGCGATGAAGGCAACGACGACTCTGCTGAAGCGGAAGACACGAGTTTCTTGGGAGGAGTCCACACTGTGAATTCTCACTTCAACATCCAGAACACAACAGATATCGTCGCCATTCATGGACAATACGCGTATGGAATTTCCCTCATGGGCGAAGCGTACCGAATCTGTTTCCCGGACTCAACAAATTTGAACTCCTCATGCGAGCGATTGCCTCGCCAGGTGTTTGAACTGGAAAAGCTTGGCGGTGGTGGCATCAGTAAGTCGCGGCGATCCAACGTCATGCTGGAATCTCTTGCTGCGAGTGATGACGGAAAGACTATCGTTGTCGTGTCTAGCGAAGGCATTTTCTACTATTCGAACAAGCTTCCGGATATTGGTTCAAGTGATGCGGCTCATCTCCGCATTATTGGCAAGAATGCATCGGAAAATACGCTCTTCAAGGCACCCATGAAGGTGTACACCCCGAAGATCAAGTCGAAGGACAATAAAGTAAAGTCTGAAGCTATGATGACTGTAGTGACGAATCCGAGTGACGAGGACAGTGACGAAGAAGGCGGATACATCAACGTCGACCCTACGGAGACGTTTGCAGCACGATGGATGGTGCCAAGTCGAGGACAAGACTGCTGGGTGTGTGGAGTACGCAACGCGAGTCACTGGGTTGGTCCGCCGGAGTCCAAGGTCAAGGAACCAAGTCGTGCCCAGTTGGAAGCACAGCAAAAGGAGAAAATGAGATCCCAACGCCGTCAAGACCGACTCGCCAAGCGAGCGAAAGATGCCGCTGCCCAACGTAATAACACATCTGATCCAGAGACTCCAGTTGCTGCAAAACCCAAAACGACACCTCGATCAAGCGCGAAAAAGGCTGTGAAGAGCCAACCAAATGTTCAAACGAGTGCTACTACGGCCAATGTCTCGGCTGAAAAACGACCATTGGCTGACTTGACACGCAGACTGAGCCAGAATTCTGGCGCGGGTGATGACGATGACGAGGATTACACCGGCAGCGACGATAACACTCCATCTATTGCGTCGCTACTGAGTGAACTTGAGCACTTCAAGAAGCGCAATGCAGAAATCAAGACAGAATGGCAGCGGCGACTGCTAGGCGAGCGGCAGCTCCGTCGGAAGTGGAAGCAGCGTGAAGAAGAGTTCCTTGATCAACTGAACGACTCGCTTACGAAATTGGATGCTGCAGAGGTAGAGGTGGATCGACTGCGAGTACTGCTGCGTGATGCAGAGAAACGATTCGCGTTCGAGAAAGCGCGTGTTGAGCAGGAGAACTCCGTCAAGTCGCGTTACGAGCAGCTATGCGAGCAGATGAACGACAAGATGGCGCTGGTTGCTGATCAGAAGCGGTTGCTGGAGCAGACAACGCGCAGTCTGCTTAAAGAAGTGGATCGCAATGTTCACGCACTGAAGAATGCTGTTATTCTCGAGAAGACCGAGTGTGTGGTGTGCAAGGACCAGCAAGCTGTGACAGCAGTCGTGCCGTGCGGTCACCTTTGCTTCTGTGAACAGGATGCCGAGACGTATCGCCGCAATTGCACGGCGCAATACCCCACGTGCCCCATTTGCCAACAGGAAATCGTCTCCCTACTGCGAATTTATACTTGAAACACTAGACAACAGTTCAATCGATTAGCACAAAATAAGAAGCTCTGCGTTCTTTTAGTGTTAATTTAACGCATTTTATTTGTAAAATGTCTAAGAATGGCAATAGCTGTGCCCATATTGTATTTCATGACACAATGGTTCCTTGTAAAGCTCATATATGCATCACCTTGCCGCCGGATAACCTCTATGACTCAAAGAGCTCAATGATTTAGCACTAGCACTGTCTCCTTGACAAGGAGTCCTTGTTGCAGGTCAAGTTGCAGTGCATGTCAATCTCATCCAATCTGTTGAGGGGAAGAGGCGGTTTAGCCAATCGCGTGTTTGCGCACGGCTCTGTACAGACGTCCTACCTTAAGACCAGAAGATGCCTACATCCGCCGTCGGAGTTTAGACTTGTGTATTGTATTCACTTTCAACGGATGCGCTCTACCACCTAAAATCAGGTTTTTCAACTGGGGCTCACATCGTAGCCACTCAACACGCTTACGTACGTGTCGTGCCACTTCCTCTTTCGACCTGTTCGGAGCAAGACCAACGCTAACAAGACTTAAACATGGGTGACTACGGCCAGTACGATGTGCCCAAGGCGGACGAGATGATCAACTTCAAGGTTGGTCAGCCCGCTCCTGCCATGCTGCCGCTGGACAAGATCCGTGAGGCTGCTACGCTTAAGTTCGCCGAGACGGACCCCATGTTCCTGCAGTACGGTGTGATTAAGGGCTACCCCAAGTTTCGTAAGACCCTGGCTGAGTTCCTGACCAAGGGATACCAGCACGCAGTGGACCCGGAGAAGCTCTTCGTGACCAACGGCGTGACTGGCGGTCTGGCGCTCATCTGCTCGCTGTTCCTGCAGTCGGGCGACCTCGTGTTCATGGAGGAGCCCTCGTACTTCCTTGCTCTCAGCATCATGAAGGACTTTAAGATCAACGTGCGTCAGATCCGCATGGAGGAGGACGGACTGGACATCGACGAGCTCGAGCGTCTGCTTCAGCGCGGCATTGTTCCTAAGATTCTCTACACTATCCCTACGTGCCACAACCCCACGGGCCGTACGCTCAGTGTGGAGAAGCGCAAGCGTCTCGTAGACCTCAGTGTCAAGTACGGCTTCATCATCGTGGCCGATGAGGTGTACCAGCTGCTGTCCTTCCCGCACGTGACGCCTCCTCCGCCCATGTTCACGTTCGACGAGCACGACACGGTGCTCGCTCTTGGCAGTTTCTCCAAGATCCTGGCTCCTGCTCTTCGTCTGGGTTGGATCCAGGGCTCTCACAAGCTTCTGAGCAAGATCGAGGGCTGTGGTCAGCTCGACTCGAGCGGTGGTATCAGCCCCGTCATTTCCGGTATCGTCCACGCTGCTATCGCCTCGGGACTGCAGCAGGAACACCTGGACACCACTGTACAGACGCTGTGGGGCCGTGCTGATGCTCTCATGAAGGAGCTGAAGACCTGTCTGCCTGAAGGTGTGACGTTCGAGGTCCCGGATGGTGGCTACTTCGTCCTGGTGCGTCTGCCTGAGGGTATGAACGCCAGCGACCTGCTGCCTATTGCTCAGAAGCACAAGGTCATGTTCCTGCCCGGTGCCTCGTTCAGTAGTAACATGAAGAACTTCCTGCGTCTCAGTTTCTCGTGGTACGACTTCCCGGACATGCAGCTCGGCGCTCGTCGTCTTGCGGACGCTATCCGCGAGTACCAGGAGGTCTTCGCTGCCCAGAAGAAGACGGAGGAGGCTTCGACCTCCAGCACCGGCCAGGGTGTTCGCGTCGCCGTGCACGGCCACGACGGTCGTCTGGGCTCGCTCATTGTGACTGAGCTCAGCAAGGTTGACAACGACGCTAGCTACGCTGGCGCTATCGTTACGCGCCTTGAGACTGGCGTCCAGGCCCCGGACCTTAACAACGTGGACGTTGTCATTGACGTGACGCTGCCTGCTGGCACCAAGAAGGTCATCTCGTACCTGCGCGAACAGAAGGACGCTGGCAAGATCAGCAAGCTGCCTGCTCTGGTTGTGGGCACTACCGGTGCTCTGCCCATGGAGGACCTGGAGGCCTACTCGAAGCTGGCCCCTGTTGCCCTCCGCTCCAACTTCTCGGTGGGTGTACCGCTCGTGTCGGAGCTGATCAAGGCTGCTGCCTTCAAGCTGCCCTCGGAGGGCTGGAACGTCGAAGTGACGGAGATCCACCACACCAAGAAGCTGGATGCTCCCAGCGGCACAGCCAAGACGCTGGTCAAGTCGCTGGCTGCTACGGGCGCTCCGTGCCTGGGCGAGACCGGCCAGGCTCCGACGCACTCTCTGCGTCTGGGCGACGAGGTCGGTCAGCACACTGTGCTGTTCGCAGGCCCCGGCGAGCGCATTGAGATCGTCCACCAGGCCACCCGTCGCGAGGTTTTCGCCATTGGCGCCGTGCGTGTCGCCACACAGGCTCCTTCCATGCCTCTTGGCCTGCACTCGGACTAAACTGATCGCGCGAACTTCAGTGTACTCTAGCTATGCTCCTCTTCTTCAATTGCAGTGTGCAGTGACTACGTGAGCATTGCATAGGCATCGAGGATACTTCGTGCCTTTCAATAAAAATCGTTAGCTATGATTTGCTTTACCGTTAACCATCTTGATCACGTTCCAAGACGTTAATCGACTATTTTCTTCTAATGTTGCTTGCCGTTGGAAGCTTCTCTAAAGTTGCTTGAATGTTGCTCAATCACTCTATTATCACATTTTCCCTTTATACTTCTTGTAGTATCCGATTAGCTTTAATGACGTGCAAAGCTCTATCTTTCGATAAACAGCCGTCGTACTGGAAAAACGTGCTGAACTCGCATTACTTGCGTTCACTATACTGAGCAGTTCATGCCTTTCCAGCGAGCAGCTCCGTAGTAGCTCCTCACAATTGCATCTTCCACCTCTAGCGACAATGAGTATGATGGAATTGCGACCGATGGACCCCAAACTGGGGCCGCATCCAGTCTTAGGAGACGGCGGCGGCATGTTCTCCATCCCAAGCTTCCCGTCGGACGCGTACCCCGACGTTATGGACGACAGTCCCGTGCTGCTACGTCCAGGATCGTCCGTAGCAATGCTGCGAGGTCAGCCCATGTCCGAAGAGGTCGGCCAGCCTTCGTGGTATGAGGAGGAGGCTGTGTCCAAGCGTCTGAGCTGCTGCCAGCTCATCCGCTTGGCCTTCGACTCACTACTTCTTCTTGGAGCAGCAGCTGGTGTCGTGTTGTCAGCCTATTTGCCTGTGGACATTGAGCGCGGCATGCGTCATGGAGGAGCACTGCCCTATGTCTACGCAGTAATTGTGGCGATTGCAGGCTACGAGTTCGCATGGTTGGCGTATCGAGTGCGTCTAAAGCTCTTCATGCCCTTCAAGCTGCACGAGAAGCAGACGTCGAGGGAGATGTACAGACAGATCATCGCCTACGCGGTGGACGAGGAGACAGCAGCAGTCACGCCGATGGCCGAGAAGTTGTGCTGTGGCAGTAAACTATTCGCAGCTTTGGTACTATCGGTATTAGCGGCAGGGGCTGCGGTTGGGCTCTGTTTTGTGCCGGGGAGTACGCAAATGCCCATGATTTATGTCGGAGTCAGCGCATTCGTCGGCATGTTCTCGGCAGCTTTAGCACCAGATGCACCCACAGCATTGTGCGTGTTGATCCGGTACGCTTATTTCTTCTTATCCTCGCTGAATGTGGTGCTACGTAGCGATGTGGATCCATCCAGTGGTGTCAGTGGCAATGGAAGCGGCTCAGTGGATGGCTTCAACGGCGAATTGGACAGTCGATATGCCATGGACAAGTATCTGGCAGTGGCGGTGGAGTCGTACTCGTTGCTGCTGCTGGGCGTGTGTCTTTTGCTCGTTACGCGTGCAGTGACAAGCAAAGACCCAGTGGAATCGGCTCTTATGATCGTCCTTGATGTGGCTGGTTTACTGTACTTGAGCTGCTCAGCTGCCGTACTGGAGCTCTTCGAGCAGTCGATTCGAGTTCGTGCCAGCGGTGCATTGGCTGGTTTTTTCGTCATTGTGTGGAGTTCAGAGCTGGGAGCGTTCCTCACTGCGCGTCTACTGAAGGCTGTGCAGTTCCCGTGGATGCACTCGCTGTCAAAGCACGTGTCGTCGCAGCAGAACGTTGAAAAGATGATCGGAGCCATTGGATTCGCTGTCGGCACTGCGTTCCTGGCTACCAACTACGTGGAGTTTGACATGAACGTCGTACTCGTCGCGTTGATTAGTGCCGGTGCAGTCGTGTGTGCCCATATAGGCAAGCTCTTCCTTCTAAGCCTCAAGAAGATCGCCAAGGTCTCCAAGACAGGCTCCTATCTTCGTGTCGGCGGTGGCGTTCTGGACCGACTCGATACGCTCCTCTTTATGGCCGTAGTGTTCGCTCCATTCTTCCAACGTGCTGTCTACCACCAGCCACAGTGGTAAAGTTACCAACATCAATATATTTAACCATGTCAATGTTCCTAACTTGTTACGCAACTCCTGAAGATCTCGTTACATAACATTGCAGCCTTTCTCGCCATCCTGCAAGTCAGCGCCATCGTCGTCGCTCTCGTCCTTTGTCTCATTAGCTTCCTGGGTCTCACCTTCATCCTTTTGAGCGCCAACCTGTTGTTTCTTGATCACTTTACGCAGTCGCTCTACGTCGTGCATAGTTAACACGGTACTGTTCCGGATCACGAGATGGTCGTCATGTCCAAGCGTCTTACACTGCAGCTCCAGCTTACGCGGCTCACTATCATCCAACCCCAAAAGTTCACCCATCGTGTCCTGCATGAACAACGGCTGCTTGCCCACAAGCTCAATCTGCGCATTCAACGCTCGAGTGAGCCACGCCAGTTCGGACACATCCGGAACACTCGGATCACCCTTCCGGAACACCACAGCAGATGGGTACAAGAACTCGCCCTTGACCTTGGCAATAGGCAACGAGTGTTTCGTGATGACATCCAAGTCGTCAAACGGCACAGAAGTCTGCGGACCGTAGAGGATCGACATCTCCTTAGCTCCCCACACGATCTTGTGTTCTCCAGGACCGCTAGTGGTGCTCCCAGGCGGAGTGCAGCTCACCTTGTGGTCCTTCCAGTGGCCACGCTGGCACTGAGCATCGCAGTAAAACGTGCATTTGCAGCGTGTACAACGCTTCAGTTCCTTGCCTGGAGCCGCGCGCTTGTCACACTTGGCACATCGACGTAATTCGGGGTTCTCCATTAACGCCAATTGCTCTCCAGGCGGCAAGACACGACGCTCCAGATCTGCTCGTGTATAAAACAACGCCATGCCGCGAATATGGTCACCACCTTCACCGTTCGGGCCACCGCCAGTGCGCGTGCTGATGACGGACGAGAAGACTGTGCCTCGACCCACGTGGTGACGCGCATCCAAGCGAAGTTCTTCATCCCCCACAGCGTCAACTTGAATGGCTTGACGCTCAGCGAGACGGTCCCATGGCTCCAACTTCGCGTACTGCTCGCAAGCTGAATAGAAAGCTGCCAGCGCTTCAGTCGTCACACCAGCGCCCGAGATCAGACCAGCACGCTCGCTCACTTCCGCTACAGATGCAAGGTCCTTCCGGATCAGGTGCTGCGATAACTCTCTGTATAAAACAGCAACGTATCGTTACTATATCACGTGATAGATGCCTGTAGAATAGCTTACAACGTACTGGATGTAGGCGTCGATGCCGTCCGATTCGGATAAATAAGAGCACTCAATACCCAGCGAAGAGTAGCTCTTACGTAGCTGACCGACAAAGTTCTTGTCCGGGAAGACGATCTTGTCTGGACGGTGTTGAGGAGTGTTCGTAGGAGGGTCTAGCATCGCCTGTAGCGTCAAGTCCAGCACCGTTTGAGGCGATGGGTACACCTCGGGTGGGTCGCAGATCTTCTTGGACACTACTTGGCCCAGCGGGTACAAGTTGTTTACCAGAATGCAGTACGGACGACAGGGTACCGCGTCTTGTCCGTCGTCAGCACCAGCACTGGACGCCGACCATACGCGGAGTTGACGAACAACAACTTGCCAGACTTCCAACTGCTTCTTCTCCAGCTTGCGGTAGCGCTCTACTTGCTTGAGAGTTAGCAGCATCTCCGTGCTGATCACAATGTCGGCTGCAAGCAGCATGACAATAGTTAACATTAGCACTCTAGAAGGAAGGGATTAATTCAATGAGGTTCAATACAAACCGTCGCCTTCCACGTCGAACTGAGTGGGTACTCGTGGTACATCTTCATTGTCCGAGTCCGAGTCGTCCTGTGCAGTTAAAACAGCGTAAGAGAGACAGGAATTCGGATAAGGTTTTTAGAATTGGTATAAATCCGCATCTACTAAGCGGATGGTAGTCGCAATGGCATAATTACAGCCACCAGAAATGGGGGAGAAGGTGGGTAACATGCTACACACCTGGAAGTTGTTCCACTTCTCATAATTCTTGGTCAAATATTGCTCGCCCGTCGCCATTCTCGTCACTCTTCTTCTTCTAGCCTTCCGAAAATCAAATGGAATCAGACTTCAAGATGTGGGTAACACAAATTTATCAGACAAACCATCTGATACTCAGCTCGAAATCTGATTAGAGAAACATTATCCACAGTTGAGTATGGACAACCTGGTCGAGACGCTACAGACGCAGCGCGAGGAGCTCCTGGCAGCCCACGCCGCTTCTAGCGACCGCGAGACTGCGCGCAAGCTGGTACAACAGCTCAAGAGCGTCTCCGAGGAGCTGGAGCTCGTGGCAGCGACGGCCACGTCCTCTCCACACTCTGCGCTTTCTCCGGACTTGTACGCGAGCTACCTGCTGGTTGTGCTGCTGTCCAAGAACCTCAACGATGCGCGGTTCCTGTGGAAACGCATACCGATCGAGATTAAGCAAATGTCCGAGGAGCTGCGCAACGTCTGGGAAGTCAGCAAGGCGCTGTGGCAGCGGTAAGAGGCTGGAAAGTCGTCGTGTATCATAAAGTGAAAGATACTGACCTTCGTGGTGCCTTGTACGGATAGGAATCTAGCAGCAGCCTACGCCGCGATGGACTACGACTGGTCTCCATCACTGCAAGAACTCGTGGAGGCGCTTAAGAGTGCGTAGACTATTTGCGGTGTAGTTGATACGCAGGTATGGACTGAACAGCGTGATTCCTTGCTCTGTAGCTTCTACACGCGAGGATGCAGCCGAGCTGCTGAGTCTGGCGTACTCAGCGGTGTCTGTGGGTGACGCAGCATTAGCGCTGGGCTTTGTGAGGCACGAAGACGCTGTACAGTGTGAGTTTTGTCATAGTAACCAGTTGTATCATGCTGCTTGGTGTATTCACGTGCTGTATATGGCTGCTACAGACTGCTCATCACTGGGTTGGGAAGTGTCCACTGCAGACCAACTGATCCTACCGAAACCATTGGCCAACGTACGACGCGGACCCTCGACGGTAGTGGATCTGGACCAACTCGACACGCTGTCCAAGACGGTACTACATCTGGAACAGAACACGGTGCTGAAGCTTTAGTAAGGTGGACACGTGCACGCCATGGCGTGGATATTGCGTAATGAGTCAATATTAAACGGTCGCCCGCCGATCTTTCAGACTATTTCCAACCTTTCGCGTAGTATTCGGTGTGCTTCATCTTTAGATTCGCTGCCAATGGAGAGACGTAAGATTCGTCGTAAGACTGGGGAGATCAAGGCGACCAGCGACGCTGAGTCCACTGTCAGTACACGCAGCAGCACGAGCAGCAACAGCAGCACATCGTGGAAGCAGAAGCAGCGGCGCCTTAAGGCTCAGTGCCCGAATCAAGACAATAGCAATGATACCGAGATAGACAGCGAAGAAGATGCCCATTTCACGTCACTTGAGGGCAGACTGGGGGCCATTTTGGAGACGACAGAGGCTCAGGTGGTAATGATTCTACTCATAGCGCTTGATATCGGCTGCACTGCAGTGGAAATCCACCTACACGACCAGCTACAACTGCAACAACTCACAACAGAAGATGCACCACTATTAGTCCGAATTGCGACTCGTCTGGTGGAGTCCTTCACGGGGTTCACACTGTTCCTCTTTTTGATCGAGTTGACCGTGCTGCTAGCGGCATTTCGACACAAATTCTTCGCCCACGCTGGATACATTTTGGATCTCGTTGTCGTCAGTATATCCCTCGGTGTAGAGCTGTACGCACAGACAAAAGGTAGGATTTCGACTGTGTTCATAAGGATATTAATCGTAGTAACACGCCTTGTGTCAGCTGCACGGCTTCTAGGTATACTGCGCGTGTGGCGGGTGCTGCGGTTAATACGAAGACTTGTCGATCAGGAACGGGCTGCTCATGATACTACACGACAATTACTAGAACAGGAACAATTGGTGAGGAATAATTTGAGTGAATTCTGGAAACTAGCACTGACTAAATGCAATTGTTTTAGAAACTGCTTCATGTTCGGATGCAGAAGGATGCAGCGCATGAGTCACTCAAGCGGGAGTATGAGTCACGAGCAGGGCTCGAGCAGCTCTTGCGCAGCTATAAGGACGAGATTGTGACGCTGAAGGAGGCACTGCAGATCGCAGCACAGGCTGTGGCGGAGGCGACGATGGCCGAAAGTCCTCCGTTTGATAACGAGTATTCAGAAGTCGTTGACGCTGAGACCTCGTTCGGTTCGTATCCAGCGGCAGACAATGAGTATAGAGAGGAGTATTATCATCATGAAGTGGCTGCTGTACACCCAACAGAGCTGCAGCATGAATACTTACAAGAAAGCGAGGAGAGTGAAAATTATCACCAGGAAGCAACTGCAGTGCATCCAACAGAGGTGCACGAAGAGAACTATTATCTGGAAGCGGCTGTGAATTCCATGGAGGAGCAGATAGAAACGAGGAGTGACAACGAATTCGAAGATGCAGCGGATGAATAGCTGAATAAAACGCTGTTATTCGAACTCATATCAACGATATGAGTGCGGGGATGTGATACCAGCGCGATATCTAGTTTTCTCCGCGCTTCTTGTCCCATGCAACGACGTCCTCGTAGCGGATATCACCACCGAAGATGTCGAGTGCACTGCCAATCGAGAGGTCGACCTGCACGCAATGAATTAGTTAGGTCAGTCCTAGTTCCAAGTATCATAACTTCACGAGCTGTCGTATTGCTTACCTTGCCACTACCGATGCGCTCCACGAAGTCCAGATCATCCTGATGATAGCATAATTCAAACACCATAGTAAGCATAGAGTTGCGTTCGGTGGTAAAATAACAGCGTACCAGAGAGCTAGCACCACCAGCATATGTAACAGGGAGGGGGCTCCACTTGGCCAGCAATTCGACAAGTTCTTGCTGCAAAAATTCAAATTGTGTTAAGTCCGCGTACATAGCAGTAAATGCAGACAGAATCTCGTACCTGGATGCCGCACCGTTTGCCTTCTACATCCACGGCATGTACCAAAAACTCATCGCAGTATTCAGCGAGGCGGTGGAACAACGCCTCACTACTCAATCAACAATATCGAGTTAGTAAAATCACATCTAGAAGCCAAGTCTCACTGGCAACGCACTCGATGGACGTCGTGGTGAACTTCTGCCAGCGGTCCGTCATGACGTAGAACTTGTTGTCCTCTACTTTCTTGCGGCAGCTGAGGTCCAACACCAAGTGTTCCTTGCCGATAAGCTGCTTGAGCTTCTCGAGTCGCTCGAAGTCGATCTGACCGTCACGGAACACGTAGGACGTGACGATCACATGGCTCGCGCCCTTCTCCACAAAGAACTGGCAGTTGTCAGCATTGATGCCACCTACAGAAATACCATCAGTTCACCATCTCCTGGAGCACTAGCACCGAAATCTACTGACCGCCCACTTGGAGTCCTCCGGGGTAGCTCTGCAGAGCATCCAGTGCCGCGTTTGTGTTGGCTTCCGACGCGCCTAACATGATGACATGGCCGCCTACCAGTCCGTCCTTCTTGTACATGCTGTTGTCGGCAAGGAACCATTGGGAAATGCAATTAATTAATGGAAAATGTGCCAAAACCGGCGAAAACTGTCGTTTTACGACGTACCGCGCGAAATCGCCGGCACTCTGAGAAGCCACGAAGTTGGTGACGGGGCCCACGCCTTCGGCGTCTGTGAGCGTGGAGCCCACGATCTGCTTCACCTCGCCAGCGTGGATATCGATGCACGGCCGAAAGCGCATGGTTGATGATGCTTGGCGACGGTAAATGCGCAACCGACAGTTGAAAGGCACTATTTCGAAGAGTGACATAAAATGGCTACAGTTGACCAGCCGCAGAAATTGAGGAATTACTACAAGCAATTCCTCATTTCTGGAGTTTTAAAGAATATTTACAGCCGGATGCAAATTTTTTGCGTCTCTTTGCTAAACTTTTGCAAGTGGCGTACGTAGTCTTAGAATGCAGGATGCCATTCCTATGCGGTTTTTTAAACGGCGGCGACGTCTTAGTACGGTACGAATATGCAGCCTCCTCGAGAGAGAACAGCAGCGCGTCAGCGGGAGCACTCGCCACATTTTTTGTTTGGCAAAGTGCTGCGGTTGCAACGGGAGCGAGCAACTGCAGGATTGCATTCATGAGCAACGACCCGGTTTGGACTGTTTCAGCGAACAATTACTCAAAGTTTCGGAACGGAAACGGCCCTCATACAGTAAGCTGGGTTCGTCACAAGCATGGGACGTCCACCGAGAATCCTCGAGCAAAGGGACAATCTCCTCCAGTCGTGCCTGGTCTCTCTCTGGCCCGTGTGGTAACCGACCCGCACTTCACGACTGCGATCGAGTCGAACGTGGTCATGGGTGTTGCTATCTCAACTTCGAACAAGCAAACCGAAGGGATCTGAATAGACTTTTGAAGGGATCATCATAACATCTTGCTGCGGTGGAGCTAGTTTAGGATACATTTTATCTAATACAACCTCATCGAGCCTTGGTGCCATCTATTTGACGTCTCAGTCGTAACTATTGATTTTCATCAAATGGGCTTGATATTTCGTGTTTGCATGTTTTAGCATTCCCGATCGCAATATTTGCGTTAGCCAACCCTAAAGTTAGCATCAAGCCACAGCACCAATGTGCCATTTCTATTCTGGCATTCCATGAGCAACATCGAGAACGGGACGGCATTGCAGCTACTGTGTGCAAAGCAGAACGCTTACTACATTGAGGCCGTGCAGGACGCTCTGCAAGCGGAGGAGCAGCGCAAACAAAAATTACATAAGGCCATCAACAAGCAAGAGGTCAAGCGACTCGAGAAGCAGTTCATCCGTGAACGAAGCGCAGATCGCGATCGACTTCGCCACATCCAAGAAGACCACGCATTGCTGCTGAATGCCAAAATTGCCGAATGGAAGGCGACTGGTGGAATGGTGACACTTGCTCCTAACGATACTAAACGAAAGAGTGCTGGGCGTCGAGCAGAATGCAAACGGAAGCCACACAAGGTGACATTCACGAAGGAGTCGCTGGATCGCCTTGCTGTGCCTCGTGTATCGACTGCCAAGACAGAGGACACAGGTACGCTGCTGTGTGTGCAGCGTCCGCGTGAAATGTTGCCTGATTTATCACTGCAATATTCTAGATGATTGCCCTACAGCGTCTAATTACAGAGGCAGCGCGCAGACTTCTCAAGAGGTCGAGTTCTACAAGAACGTATACCGAAAGCAAGACCGCGAGCGATTGGCACGCAACGCACCTCCATCGCTTTCAACACTCACGGCTTCAAACCTCCACACGGTTCGTACAACCATTGCATTGATCTAATTCTAGCCCGATTCAAATTTTATGTTTGTGAAAAGATGTCGGAGACCGAGCTGCTTCGCAAGAAGGCGAATCTGTTGTCGGAGCTGCACGGAGTGGTGTCGTTGGAGGCTCGCATCATCCAGGACGACCAGTGTACGATCCGTTCGTCTGTGTCGAGCTGGAAATCCAGCGGCTATCGACCTCACAGATAAAATATTGCAGTAGTATAACATCAGCGCAAATAGGTACCACACAGACATTGCGTCCACCTTCTTTATGAATAAGCCGTAGCTGCTGCAGTGGCCGAGTGGCGTGTCACTATTCCTCTTCCTTTTGTGGTGGTGGTCCGCAAGGTTGGAGCATTTTTTCCAACATGTTGTAGCGCACACGGCCCATGGACTCGTTCTCCGCCACAGCGAAGTACGCTAGCATGTCTGAGTGACCCAAGTGAGACGCCAGTGTGTCGCGCTGCTGGTTCACTGCCCACTCACTACAACAGCATCATAAACAGTAATTGCGAGTTAGCGAGTTAGTTGAGGAGTCATTATTACAACGTCCGAGCGACGCACAATTTGGTCGTGTCAGCGTGGCCCGTTCCCACATATTTGGCCTGTAGGTGCTCCCACTGCCGGTTGATGTTGAAGCGATCTGCCGCCTAGCAAGAACGAAGTGCACACGAAGCAGAGAAGCGGGTTACATGTAGCACAGCGCAGACGCAGCGTACAGATCCACGCACCATTTCGAGTTAGCACTCCTGGACGCAATTGGTTGAAAAGAAAAGGAAACTTAATTGATGTGGTCCACTTAATAGTAAAGCTGTAATGTCAAAATTTGGTCTAGTGTGATTTTTGTGGTTTGCAAAGCAGATCTTGCTGCGCATGCCACACTTCCAGGCGTGAAAGGCGAGGATGCAACGCCAGAAAGCTCGTGTTGCGATCATCATTGTCGTCGGATTGCCTTCGGTCGCCACTGGCGCTGCAGATGATGCTGGTCTTCGTCACTGGAATCACACAGTGCGTGCCTCGCTCCTCGATGACAACTGCAATGTACGTACTACATGTAAATTCATCGCAACCGCGTCGACCAGCGATGGAAGCGCTGCTCCAACGCTTTATCGCCGCATTGACCTTCACGAGGACAACGCCTGTGAAGCCATCGCGAGCAGAAGCGCCTATGCGCGACGCTGAGACTTTCTCAGGACTTGGCTGGCTCGCATGCGTCGCTGTTCGATTGTGAGTCAGCTCTCTTCGCTCGTAAACGCGCGCTTCGCGTCTGTCGTGACGGGGACGCGGTGCAAACGAGCCTTGCTTCATGCGCACGCCAACGCCAACGCTTCCTCGCCGCAACAGAAAGTCCCGCCGGGGATTGTCGTCACATTTCGCGCCATGCTAATCAGAATTTTGCCTTGAAAAGTCGCGACTACGAAAATGGTCACAGAATACTGTCCTTTATCTGCTCACGCCATGCACGGGAGTGACCCAACAAACACAACGCGATGTCTCCGCAATGCGCCGGCTTGTCCGAACATGCATGGTCTTCGCAAGCTCCCCTTCAAGAATTGAGGAACTCGCTGCTGTTGCCAGTCATGTGGCGCCAACGGTAACGCTGGGCTCTATGGAAAGTCGCTGCGATCATGATCAAGACACTCGTTCGTCCGGCTTTCATCCTTGAGCACTGCAGTCTGCGGATGCAGGTCCGGTTTCCGAGCGTCATGATAACGATACGGAGGATCGTGCGTGCGGCTTGCTTTACTATGCATTCAAGGCATGCAGTGTATTGCAGATTGCAATTTGCAGTGCCCCGTACTGTGGACAGACCCGCCCAGACGGCCGCCGATGACTCCGTCTATTCTTCAGCGCGGGATTAGCAGCTTGACTCACAGTCAATCACAGCAGCAATGCCCGGAGGAAAGAGTCACTTGCAGTGGAATTGGCGAAAATGGGGGACAGGCACCCGGGGCCTGCCCCTGCACTTTTGGTTTTCATCTGACCGCCTTTTGGCACCGGCCACGGCCAAGGCAGAGAAGGGGGTGCGACAACTGGAGGACATCGAGCATCGAGCACCAAGATTCTTGGTGCTCGGCAAGAATTCTCACAGGCTTCTTGGTGAATCGAAGCGCAAAAGAAAAAGTGTCCTCTCTTTTTCAATAGAGCAACTGCGTTTCGCGCCAAGCAGCTTCGGGCCCAAAATGTGTACTCGGCAAACAAGGCAGCTCTGCGGCAAGCACTTGTTCGTTGAAGTGCGTCTCGAAACAAACCAAAACGACCTCGGCGACAAGCAGCAGCGCTGTTCAGGTGGTCGTTGACGGAGATCAAGCGAAACCAGATTTTTCGCATCATTTTCTCACTTGGAAAAACAAGAAATTTGTGACCATCCGACTGTCAAACATAATGCTACCTCAGCAATCGTGTCGGAACATTCTCACTGCTTTGGTGGCTGCTAGATCTGATTTCACTGCGAGAATGCATACATGAGTACTATATCTCAGAGGGTTCAGTTTGCCCAACTTTTGCGCAACTTCGAATACTTTCTCGCTACTTCTTTGCGCAAATTGAGGTCACTCGAGCGCAGGCTCTAAACTGGCGTATGTGCAACGCCAGCCCGTCCAAGGCTATAGAATGGCCGCTTCCTCAGCCTGAGCGCGGCTCCCGCCGGCCGCGAGCAATGCGCCGGAGGCTGAAGGCGCTTGCCCCAAGATATCCTGGCGCTTCCGCGCGCTGCGCCGATTGCCATCGGTACCAGTGGTTTGCGCGCCGAAATGGCCAGCAGAAGCTCGGCGCGGTTTCGTCGCGGCTGAGCCAACGTGGCAGTGTGAGTGCCATGTGGCAAGCATGTCCGACTTCACCGCTGGCCTCCGCGACGGCCACGCACGTGCGCAGCGCGGTCGGCACCGCAGAAAGGATACTTTTTGGCCCCGGGGAGGGCGCAACACACCAAGTCAACATGTAGGCAAGACCAATGACGGCGCCAACGAATTGTTTCAAGCTCTCTACATTCTCGGCAGGTTATTTGCACGCGCGCGTACTCTTCTGCTAGGCTCGGCTCGTTTCCTACTGTGCTGGCGCGTGTGCAGTGGCAGAGCGGGGACGCGGGTGGCGGCGGTGACGGCGACGTGAACCTGTTGCTCTGTTGCTGATGGTATCGATCCCTCCCCCTCCCTGCCTAGCTACATGTAGAGAAGGATTGAAATGAGCCCTTTGTACTTATAAACTTGCTTATAGACCTGCGCACCGAGGCGGGGGGATCATAATACCACTACCGACTGTAATGCACGCGCTTCCTGTGACGGCGAAGACGCAGTCGGAGCACTTCTATTGTTCCACACACACCCTCTCGCTCGCGCCGGGGCCACCGCGACTTCCACGGTCGCAGCGCCTCGCAAGCGCCTCTTCTTGTTGTAGTAGTTCCACGTATTGTACTGCTCGGCAGCCTCCCTGAGGCGCGGGGACGGTCCCCATCTCGCGATGCAGTCCTTCTCTTCGTTCCACACGAGATCCACGGGCGTTCCCGGCGCACTCGCTGCCGAGAAATCCCTAACTAGCTAGGCGTGCTCGCCCGCGCACCACCTAAGTGGTCAGGAAGTCCGGCATCTCGAAGACGTTCTCCTCGCCGCCGTCGTTCTCCGGGTTCTTGGCCCGGGTACTCACTTGGATGTACTCGGCGGTCACAGTCTCGTAGCTACTCAACCGCCGCGTGAGCTCGCAGAAGCAGCAGTCACACCCGGGCTCATGCATCTTCGCGTCTTCAGCCGACGCGATCTCCTTCGAGTTGTCAAACACGCGCTCCATCAGCTTGGCGCGCCAGTCCTGGTAGACCTTGAGACGCAGCTGGTGCGCATTCACGCGCGCCTCGGGGCTCATGCTCAGTGCCTTTTCAGACACCTGCAGCGAGAAGTCATCCATGATGCGGAGGTACTGCTCGTGCAGCGTCTGCAGGCTCGAGAGCAACTGGTCTTCCTCGGGGGACAGCGTCTCCTTCATGCCCACGAGGAAGTCGCGCACGTTCTTGGCGATTTCCATCCCTGCTCTGATCTCTTTTGTTTCCTAGCTCTGTCGCTCCCTGTGCTCTCTCTCTCTCTCTCTCTCTGACTGCACGGCCACGCGGGGTCTGCGTTGTTTGCTTCCGGCCGAGCGGAACGGGCGGGAACGACCAAGAGGACTCTTTGGTGTCTGTGTGTGTCGTGGCCAGCAAGATGGCGAATGGTACTGGCCCGGCGCTGGGCTGGTGTGCGCGAGGCTTGCAGGTGTCGTGGAGTGTGCCACTCCAATTTGTTCCCTTCCAAATTCGGGTGGGATGCGTCGGGCCAAAATCGGCACTTGGCAAATATCACAACAAGAAAGATGGGCAGGCACGCCAATTGGTGGAGCCCGTCCCATACTCAACTCAAGTCAAAATCTGCCGGTACGAGGGCTCTGATTCAAAGGCACAAGAAGCACCACGTCTTCTTTTGTTATACTTGTACAGCAACAAGCATTTGCCACGGACGGCAGTATCCAGGCCAAATATTCTGCCATCGCGCCATTTTACCATAGTGTCTGTACGAGGTGACCAAGCCGGCCGCCTTGGTGAGTAACGGGCGCCGATAGTCACCCGCGCGGCTGCCACGCTGCAGAGCTTGATGCTGGTAACGCTACTGCTGGGGTGAAATCCTGCAGCCACGCACAAAGCGAAATGTCATGGTAGACCCGAAAAAAGGGGCACTTTTTTCCGCTAGAAACGCCAGCCGGCATCACGCTGGTTTGATGGCACTCACTGCAAGTGCATGTCCTTGGCAATGAACGGAGGGAGGCGCAATGAAACACGGGGCGCTTTTTGTTCGATCTCGTCGCCAACTGCACTCGGCTCTCTGCCTTATTCCGGCCTTTGCGTGCTTGGCTACTTGTAGCCGCCACTATGCTTCGAGCGGTTGCCCACGCCAGCAGGCTCCTCACTGCAGTGAGAGTTCGCTGCGGCTGCCTGACCCTGACAAAGGTTCAAGACGGTTGCTACGGTGCAGGCCGTCCCAATGCAGGCAGACCCATGGCTCAAGGCAAGTTGGCATCCCATTGCCATCGATAGCCTAGTCCGTGGGACTGCTGTCAATCAGAGCGGGCAGTGCTCGTCTGCCGCGATCTTAGCGCCGAGTTGTGCCTGGCGTGCGATTGCCAAAACGGGCGTGGGTTCAGCGAGCTGGGCAGTGGGCACTAAGACACCTCAGCGCCGTCGAAAGGAAGCTTAGCGCTGGGCCCATATCGTGTCATCCTCGCTTGCTGCCCACCGAGCTCTTCACAGCCTACTCTGCAGCGGTGTCCACAGCGCCAAGGCGCAACGATGGCGACGGCGCCGCCGCCCTGAGTTGGAATATCAGGCCGCGGTTGAAGAGTAAACCGGCCCCGCTCCACGCACGTTCGCGCGCGCTTCCGCCGGCGATGCACCATTCGACATGCCCTCGGCACGGCAATGCATGGCAAGGTCGAAGGAGCGCCGGCGACAGTGGAGGGACCACTTCGACCTGGACAGAGCCGCTGACTCTGTCCCAATCACGCGTCTTTATCACGAGTGCCCCATGACGCGGGAGCGGCAGGCCTAATTGCCCTCGACCCAAATGGCGGCGGCAGCTGCGGCCGCTGAGTCACGCCCGCGATAGAGCACTGCTCCGAGGTCAGACTGGCGGTGCAGCGAGATAGCTTTGAAGTATCACCTGCGGGCCCCGGACCGGGCGGCGGTGGTGGCGTGCCTCGCCCTACATCGTACCATAATGCAAATCGGGTCGAGCGGTCTGATCGGGCCGAGGATCCGATCATCAAGATGGAGGCGGCCGCAACTCGCATTCGCCATTCCCGCCGTTGGTGAAAGTGCAAAAATATGATTCGAGTTTGTTTTTGCGTCCACTGTGGCCCACACAGCGTCCGGGGCCGCTAGCCACAGTGAAAGTAGCTTCAACTGCAACGCCTGAAATGCTGCAACTTCTTGCGGCGAGACCTGCTCGCTGTCGACGAAGTGGCGGCAACAACGATGGCAACTGGGCTATGTGTGCAGTGCATTCGCTCGATGGATACTCAGCACCCTTCTTTCGAGCTCTACGGTACATGCACAGGGGGATGCCGAAAAATTGTCTTCCCGATTCGGCTAGAGGCAATTTCAGTAGTAGAAAAAGTTAAAACTACAACATCAACACCAGAAACGCTGCAACAATCCAGACCGGAGACATTTTGCCTCGCTGCCGTAGGCTACGCACGGCCCGTAGCTAGAGAATACATGCAGTGGGCAAGTGACAAAGCTAACTGCGCACAACCTCATTGCTGACAAGCACTGCTTGCTCAGCACGAAACCTCTCGGTGGGAAGTGTCCACTGACCACTACACGTCTGAGATCCCACGGCCGCGAATCAGATCTAGACTGGCGAAACGCCCGGAAACTTGGCGGTTTCATCCGCGCAGTCTGGGGACGCTTAGCCTCCGCGCCCGGCGCAAAGGGCGCAAAGGCGACAAACGGATAAGATCGACTCTGCTGCCTTCATTGAGAGGGCGCTCCGATGCGCGAGAGGATACTTTCTGTGCTTAAGCGCCAATACCGACCGCAGCCACAGTGTTGCTTATCGGTGCTTGGAGTTGAACGCTGCTGACCTGGGCGGTCTGCTCAATGCTGGCTTCGCGATCAGCTTGACAAAAGGATTCGTATGCAACAAAGAGCTCCCGGGTAACGCCCAGTGATGGGTTCAGCCATGCCAAAAAGTGCTACACTGTACAGGCTAAAAAAAAACTTACTAGCTACTTTTCAAAATTTCCAAGTTTACTTAAGCGTCACTTACGAAACATTGAAGTTGTAGCTGAAATTTGCGGTTGAGTTAGGCACTTCTTCACTTCACCGCCATTAAGGCGACCGAGCTGCCGTCGTGGCAAAGCTCGTGTTGAGGGCTGTATGTCGATGTGAAGAAAACAGGAATGTGTAGAATTATTGCTCTGCGTGGCGTGGTGGATTCGTAAAAATAAAATCAATAATAGCGTTTTACATGCTCTTAGTTTCTAATGCCTGCGCCAGGAAAGATTGGAGAGTATCGCAAAGTTGTCTTGCCAATTACGGAACCGTCGATGAATGTGCCATTGACGCTAACGATCGAGGTAGGTGAAAGTTCGTTGATGCTAAAGAGTGAGGTTTTGACGTTCGAGTGTTTTTATGCTTGGCGGATGATTCTGGCAGTTGCGAAAGCTCTCTAAAGTTGAGGGTTATCACCACAACGCAGAGAATACGGTTCTGGTAATCTGCCGGCTGGACAATTGGTTCTCGGGACTGCCTTGTTCCACAACATTTTCGATGCGTTGTGTTGAACGCAACACGTTTGTAGTGCGCCAATGCGTGAATCCTTCGAGGACTGTCGCGAGTCATACATACAATCATATCGCTTTCAAGCTGCATGCAGGGGGCGAACATCCAGCATGCCATTTGTGTCAGTCCACAAGAATCAACGACATATCAACCTGGTCTCGCAAATTCCGTGTAAATTGGCGCAAACTTTGCCGAGAGTCGTCCAAAGCTCCTTTAGCAAGCCACACGTAAAGGAATCAAGTTTTTATCGACGATCTGAATCACCGTCTTTTTAGCGAACTCCGACTTGTCAAGCGCTGCTGAAACAAGCTGGCTACGCCTCAAGGGCATCTGTTGGTGTTGTCAAAATTCGTGGGCTGGGACAACTCGCGTGCTCGCAGCATATGCAAATCCTGTGGCTCCCAACGTAGATTTCCAAGGTGGCGCCGTGTGACTTGAAGAAGGTCGAGCAGCGTGTCGCTAAAAAAAAAAGAATTTCATTTCCCAATTTAGCGGCAATCGAATATCCGATGTCCCAGTATAGCAGCATGGACTCGACCCGCGCGTCGCGGCCGCCTCGGCGAGCGCAGCGCTTGCTGCCAGCGCTCACGCCGGCGCCGCCCACCTCAGGCTCAGCCACGGCGTCGCAGAAACTCGAGCAGCTCCAGGCGCAGCAGCCCACAGACAGCGCACCAATTGGCAAGAAACCGTCCTCCATCGCACACATTTTCTTCAATCGACGGCCACTAGACTTGATCCGTCGCACTACCAGCTCTCTACTAGCCACCAGTGGCAGCTCAGCGCCCACGAGTGTCGTTGCGACGCCGCCTGCCACCGAGGAGCGCAAGTTCTGGCAGCCACATCGTCCGCTTGGCGAGAAGAGCGGGCGCCGGAGACTGCAGCAGCTACAGCACAAAGAGAAAAGCAACAAACCGCAGCGGAGACTGCGACTCAGTGAAAATGCCGAGACGGAGCGCGGGAAGCGACACGAGCTCGAGACTCGAACAGACACAGCGACGGAGATCAGACGGAGGCCAACGCCATGTCCTCCCACTGGCAAACAGTTCTTGATGGATTCAGAGAAAGCAGCGGAGCTCACGGCCCTAGAGAGCGTGGAAATCTTACAGTACGACGAGATCCGCTTCGTGTCTACACGTGCAGTCAAGCGCAATCGCCGCAATGGCGCGATCCAGAACGATCTGCCAGTCCACGGAGACGAGGCGGCAACTCCTGTCGACGAATTAGACGACCTTCCGACAGAATTATGCAACGACGGCTACGATGACGAACACGGAGACTATTTGGTATTGATCGGAGACCATTTAGCCTTCCGATACGAAGTGCTGAGTGCATTAGGCCAAGGATCTTTCGGCCAGGTCGTGTGTTGTGTGGACCATCGCACTGGCAAACAAGTTGCCGTCAAGATCATTCGTAATCGACGAAAATACCGCGATCAGGCGCTTGTTGAGGTGAAACTTCTGTCACAACTCCAACGTGGAGTTGGAAATTCGCATATCGTGCGCATGGAGGAATATTTCCAGTTCCGTAACCACGTGTGTATCGCCTTTGAGGTGTTGGGCTTGAACTTGTATGATCTCCTCAAGACGCGCCACTTTAACGGGCTCCCCATGACCAGTGTACGCACAATTGGCAAGCAATTGGTACAATCTTTGGCATTTCTCAAACAGGAGCAAATTGTCCACTGCGACTTGAAACCAGAGAATATTCTGCTTAATGCGTCGCCTGTGAACGGAGATGGCATCGTGGACAACGTGACACTTATTGACTTCGGTAGTAGTTGTCTGGAAGGGACTCCCATGTTCACCTACATCCAAAGCCGCTTCTATCGAAGTCCAGAGGTTTTACTCGGCCTCACGTACTCCGGTGCGATCGACATGTGGAGTTTTGCCTGTATCCTCGTCGAGTTGCACACTGGCCACCCGATTTTTGCCGGCGAGAACGAACGCGAACAATTTGCCTGTATCATGGAAGTGCTGGGCGTGCCTCCGGTCGAAATGGTGCAAAACAGCAAGCGACGTCTCAACTTTTTCGACGAAGTATCCAACCCTGCGGATATCGACGCTGTGGACTACGTCCCGAAGTCGTTCGTGAACTCCCGAGGCCGTCGACGCTCGCCTGGAACTCTCAGCCTCATCAGCGCTGTCAAGTCCAATGATCCTGAATTTTTGGCATTTTTGGCAAAATGTTTTGCATGGGATCCGAGTCACCGACTCACTCCCGAACAAGCACTTCAGGAACCTTGGCTACTTAATCACGCCAATCCTGTAGAATATGAGCTTTAAGTAAGTTGAAGTAACCTGTACAAATGCATAAGCAAATTCTCAACAATTTCGATTTGGTCACGCAACAGGGACCAACACTCCTGGTGGTGCCGTCACTCCTGAGTTGGATGACAAACGCGGGGCAGTGTAGTCGTCCACGCTCCACTTGTGCACAGTTTTATCCCAGGAACCAGTAGCGAGCATCGTGTCGAAGTTCTTGGCGGTGGAAGACCCCGATGCTTGTTGGAACCAGTCCATTGCACGCACGTAGTCACGGTGGGGCGCTGTTTTCTCTGCACCGACCAGCAGTTCACGAACGCCAGTGTCTGCAGTTCGGTCGGACGAAAAGCTGTCGGTTGTCACGAAGGTTTTGCCGTCGTCACCTCCCGTTGCCAGTAAGTCATCGTGATATGGTGAGTACTTGACTACATGTACGGAAGCTCTGTGGGTTTCACGACGAGCTAGTGGCGTGTGTGGCGAACGCACGTCAAAGGTACACACCAAGCCGTCTTCCAGTCCAACAGAGAACACAGTAGGCTGCTTCGGGTGCCAATCCACTGATAGCGCAGGCAGGAGAGTTGATACCGACAAAGCAGCGCTCTGAGGTCGACGAGCGTCCCATACCTGCACCGTCGAGTCCTGTGACGCCGAGCACAGTATATGCGCGTGCGTCGGGTTCATCGCCACGCCCCAAATCAAATCCGAGTGACCATCGAAAGTGGCGACCGTCTTGTCCATGGCTCCAACATCCCAGAGCTTCACCGTGAGATCCCAACTGCACGTGGCTAGCTGCGTTTTATCAAGTGAAGCACTGACGCCCGTGACAACATCGTCGTGTCCCCATCCAGACACAGCGTCCTCGTCGTCGCTGCTCCCAGTGGTTAGCGGCACAAAGGCGAACGTCACGTCCGTGGATAACTTCGCTAAACGCACGTCGCCGTCGTCGCAACCCAGTGCTAATACGTCACCTTCCGTGCTGCACCAGGCCAGTGACGATACGCCAGTCTCCAGCTGCAGCTCGCATAGCCGCTCGTTCGAAACCGCGTCTAGCAAGGCCACACCGCCGCTCCAGACGTTGCCCTCGAGTTGCGACTGCGCTACCGCGAGGAGTGGCAGTTCCGGCTCCTCTGCGTCGTCATCCTCGTCCGAAAACAGCACGTTGGGCAGCGAGCAGGCGGCTATGGCGTCCACTTGAACAGCCGACAAGAAGGAAGGGTGCATGTTTGCCATGGTGCTTTTTGATCAATGGCTCGGACTATTTTCGGGGTCCGAAAATAAGAGGATTTGTGGTGTGGCAAACACCATGTTGAAGTGAAAAAGGCAACAATGGGCTAGACCAGCCAAGAGCTTTTCTGCGTTTTCTTCTCCCTTCTCTCCTGTTGTCTCTGACTGAGAACTGCCACTTACTAGGCGACAATTTGGCAGCTTTTTTTTTCCTTCCTCCTCGTCCCAAGCTTCTCGCCAACGTTTTCACTCCATGTCAATTTGCCATTTAGCAACACGCAGCCTACCAGCCAAACCAGCACAAGAAAACTTATCCTCAACTAGAATGCGAATGCCTACGGATATGCCCAAGAGCCACATCTCCAAGAATCAAGGTGCCAAGGAGGCTGCGTCCGAAACTGTGGACGAGATGCTGTCCGAGGCGGAGAAAATGCGTCGTCGTAATGATCTTGGCGACCGCGGCCGTCGCACGTTGGAGCAGCTCCAAGAAGACGCTCGGAACCTCGGCGAATACGCGAAAGAGAAGATGGATCACATGAACGAGGTGATGCGCGAAGCCGCGGCTTCAGCAAAGGAGTCTACTGGTCTCCCGAATTCGGCTCCAGTGTCGACGGATACTGTAAGCGACACCGTCATGGATTCGCTCAAGACTGCGAGCGAGAAGCTCAGTGCTGAGATCACCGACCTCGGTGAACGTGTCGAGAGCGTCAAAGCTCGTGTCGCTCAGTCGATGCAATCGGCAGGCGGGAAAGCCAAGGACACGTGGTACCAGAGCGCCGAGGCTGCGAAGAACGTAGGCGAGCGCGAGTATTGTCTGCCGCTACCTACGGACCGCATCTGTGCTCGACATGCTGCGTTTGTCGCCATCCCGTTGTTGGTTGTCTTCGTGTTGATGATGCTACGTCGCCGTTACCCGAAGAAGTGGAATGCCAGTGTGAACAAGATGAAGCAGCCGCGCATGATGTTGGCGCGCGAGGTGCCGTCTACCGATAAGCTCAAGTCGCAAATGGAAGGGGTTGCGGGCAGCATTGGGGAGAAGATCGATTACGGCAAGCAGGTCGGCAGCGCCAAGATGGACGAGATGCGCAGCAAGTATGGCCAACCGGAGAACAAGAAGGACCAGTAGGATTGGGCGTTTGAGGGTGCTGCGCATAGCTTTTAAGTAGCTACACTTTCCATTATGAGCGCAGTTTGATAATTGTAATCTGCATACAATTAGCTTTGCAGTTTTTTCTTAAATTGTTATGTTGCGTTAGTGGGTGGAAACTTATGCAACTTTCTGTCGTTTGGCAGCCTCTGCGCCAGTGTCGTTTTCGCGCTTAATGGCTGCTGCGTCCTCTTGGCCTGGTGCTCCTGTAGCTGCGGCATTGTTGTTCTCGAGCTTCTCTGCAATTTCAGGTGCGTGTTTCTTCATGAGTTGAATCAAGATGGAGTCCACACGCGCCGAGTTCTCGCGCTGCTTCTCCATCTTCTCGTACTTCTGCTTGAGCTTGAGCTGTAGCTCTGCGCACACAAACAAAACAGACGTCAGCTCACTGTATCGAACGAAATTTTCAAAGCGTTGCCTTACGCTCAGAAGGAATGACGGGCTCCTTCTTGTCCTTGGAGCTAAAGTCCCACGCGTAGCCCTCCGTGGGGCTGAAGCGCACGCCCGCCGCCAGTCCGTGGAACGCCTTGTTCACCCGGTAACTGCATTTCTTCTAGTGTATCCATCAGACACAAAAGGTCAGAACAAGAATTCTAGTTAAAAAGCGCTGAGACTAGTGTCCGTACAAGGCGAGAGGTGAGCATCGCGTGGATGTTCGGAGCCTGGTAGACAGTTCCATCCAGCACGTAATAGATGGCCAGTGGCTCCACTTGCGTACGACCACTGCGTCTTTGCTTGCGGATAATGAAGAGCTGCTGGGGCATCTGCTTGGCAGCGTTGGGCAGCAGTTCGTACTCGACGCCGCGCAGATTCTTGAGCTGGTCGAGTCCTAGGCGCTGCATCTTGAGACGCTCATTGTTGCACGAGCGATCGTAGAACGGGGACAGCGCGAAGTAGTGGAGAACTGTCTGTGCGTTCAAAGGGAACGACTGCAGCCACACTGTGTCCCTGAAGGACGCGTTGTAGTCGTCCACATGCGCCGCCACTTCCATTCTTGCTAGACAATTCAATATAAAGGTCAGTTATGTTGCATGAGGGATTAGGTTGCATCCAACTTACGTTGCGGGTTATTTTGCAACTTAACTCGATTATCAAAAGGCAAAAGTATGGAGCCTCTCCGCGTGACGTATCGGACGACACTAGACGGAGAGCTGCGCGCGTTCATGACAACGCAGCTGATCAAGTACTTGCTTTTCATACGTGGCCAGATCCCATGGTGCGTATTGACCGAAATTGTAATTTAACAGCGTAATTTAGCGTGAAAGTTGTGCCTAAATGGATGTGTCAATGCGCTGCAGCCTTTATGACGAACTGCAGCGGTTCATTGAGAATTATCAGCTGCAACAGCATACACAGGTGGAAATACCGAGGCGGAGAAGGTGTGAGGCTGCCGGAGCAATGCACGGACCAAATTCAAGCTGAATGTGTCGTTTTCTGCTTAGGTTGCCCATGAGTAGAGGCATCAAGAAAGCGGTCAAGTGTGTGGAGGCGACCGAGCTGCTCTTTGGCGTGCAATTGGACGCAATCTTCCCTCTGAACGTAAAGCGAGGTGGGTGGTTTATTGACAGTTCTGATGTAATGTAGAGCCAGGGTCTGACGTAACTGCAGTGGCGTTGGTGTTTGGAGCGTCGATGATGAGTCCTCGGGAGGCTGTCGTTGTGGACTTCGACGATACGGAATACGATACGGAGGAGGCTATTGCTGCTTTGCCGCTAACAGATCAGGAAGATATGTCGCTTGAGGACTCGCAAACACTGACGCCAACGTCGCCACCGATGACGAGAGAGAAGTTGATGCGTTTGTGTGCACAGAAACTCATGCGCGCACTGTTCTCTCACGCAGTGGACCATTTCTCCAGGTAATATTCTGCTGCTTATCTTGTGGCAAAGGATCGGTTGACAATACTGTTATGCTGTGTTTATAGTGTGTTGTCGGCAACAAAGCTGCATGTTGCGGTGCTAGCAGAGCGACAGTCTACACGTATCCCCGGATTCGTTCCCAAGCAGCACTTCAAGCTTCGACTTCCAAAGGATAAACGTGGTGCACGGACACACTATATCGTGATATCCGATGATTCTGACGATAAGCCAGAGCAAAAGGGCTTGCAAATGCCAGACTCACCACAAGTCTCTAGTGACAGCACAAGCAACATAAAAGAACGTCCATTCCAGCCATCATCTACAACATCAACTAGCGATCCAGACTTGATGTGGTATGTGCTGGAAAAGCCCATTCCCGGTTTTTCGGAGGTTATCAACACGATGGAGTGAGCTAATTATCACCGCAAAACTGAGCGGTATCAGAACGATTTCGACCCCAGACATGAGTCTTGAAGACGATCAAGTGTCCAAAAATATTCCCGATGAGGAAGAAGGAGAACAGAGCGGCAAATTTAATCCAGCTAAAACATTAGCGATTTTTACGCGTTCGAAGAATGCAACAAGGTCTATCCCCGACGGCGTTTGCTTCACTGGAGGAGCGTATTGCGCATCTTAACTGGAGGAAAGTCTGCAACGAGCGGGAGATTCAAGGAACGCTTCGATTCAGCAAGCAGTTGCAAGAGAGAGATGAATTCATCCGTGCAGCAAAGAGTGGCAACAAGGCGCATCGAGAACGTATGCAACAAGTGATCAGGGACGAGTTCGCCAAGCCGCTTCCTGTAACACCTCAGTTTTACGAGGAACTCGCTGCCCTGCAACGTGAAGAAGAGTTAAAAGCGCAGGAAGTGGCTGAGAGACACATGACACAGCTGCACAATATTCAGACAAAGCTCGATGCTCGTGAGGCTCACTTGACACGTAAGAAGGAGTTTGAACGGAAGAAGAAGGAACTATTTGGCTAATTAGGAGACAATTTCTTTATCATACTAACGAAATGTAAGTAGCTCGATGTCAAAGATGAGATTTGTGTTGGGTGGCACTAGACCTGGGAAACCTTTGCGTCCGTAAGCTTTGTCAGCAGGCACGAATAACTTGGCTCTTTCTTTCATGCACAACCTCTCGACTCCTTCGTCCAGACCAGGAATCACCTGCTCAGCGCCGAGTTTGAACTTGAAAGGCTTCTCTCGATCTCGAGATGAATCGAATTTCTTGCCGTCTTGAAGCTGAAAGAGAGGAGTTAGAGGCAAATGGAGATCACATAGCACTCGAGACGTACGTAGCCCGTGTAATGGATGACCACCGTCTGACCCTTTTTCGGATAATTGAGTCCATCACCTGCCACGAACACTTCAACTTGGATCTCACCGGGACGCTGCAGACATCAACGTAAGCTTACAAACTTAACCGAGGACGAAATGAACATACAATGTTGGAAATCACGAAGTCCTTGGCTTCCATCATGGTCACTTGTTACCGCTGTCGCGCTGTCAAGACTCCCCGAAACTAAACAACTAAAACATCTCCCGAAAATAACCAACGGCAGCATCGCAAAATTTGGAGAAGGAAATCGATGGCATTCACTTAGAACCTAATGCAAAAAAACTGTTGCTCCTTCGTCCACGTGCTGTCTTCTTCAGCTTGAGTTTTCGATAATCACTTCACTCGGGGTGCTCGATTTTCTTCTTCTGTGGAGGACTGGGCTTAGTAGGAGGCGAGGATTTCGCCTTTGGTTCCGCAGCACTCCCACCTTTGCTTCCTGGGTAGAGCAAGATGAGCGACACCTGGATTGTACCCATTGTGAGTGCGAACAAATTGGGACAAATGACCAGTGGGTCGCCCAACATGAAGCCGTAGATGGACCACATGGTGCCAGCCACAACGTTCATGACTGACATGCCGAAAGGCAAGCAAGACGCGTCCTTGCGACGCAGAATATTCTTGAGCTGGAGCAGCGGCGAGGCGGCCGTGAACACTGACAGGATGTTGGCTGGGATGCCCGTGAGTATCTGCGTTTCCTCGGGGGAGCGCGTGGCCACTTGATGAGATAGCAAGAGGATAACTAGCATGGCTGACGTCAACATCCTGGTGGGTTGTGTGCGGTCGCGCGCGTACTTGTAGAAGACCAACACGTAGTATGAGCCCAACACCACGCCGAGAAATGACGTGCCTCCCACCACGGGATTGCCCGTTGTCCAGCCATACAAGGTGTAGATTACACTTTGCACGAAGTAGAAGAAGAACGGGGCGAATGAGAACTGCAACGTGCTGCGCTCGCGGCGGATGGTAGCGACGGTGGGCCTGTAGTGTGGAGAATGATTGAGAAACGGGCTTAGTATTGACAAATAGGGGCAATAACGCACCATGGAGAGATGGCGAACACGATGGACGCACCCACGGCCACCACGGGCACGGACTTGGCCGCCAGGAAGTACGTCATATAGGCCGCATTGGCCAGCGACTGCATCGACATGGTGCCTGTAGTTGCCTTTTGCTGTCAGGTTTGAGACTGAACGAAATCCCTCAACTTTTCCTTGAACCTGCTATAATATATAATTAAATGTGACTGAAAACAGGTTTCTACTAATTTACATACCCTGTGAGTTCTTATTCCTCCTGGCAGTCTTTATTGAGTGGTTAAACGGTCCACGTGGCCTCAACCTCTGTTCCTAAGACGCTTTGACATGGCTCCATCAAGTTGAAGTGAACCATCGGCCTCGATTCTGGCAAGTATGGAGCTCTCTCGCTGACAGTGTATCCAGGCACACAGAAACAATAGTTACTTGTCATCACGATGCAGTAGTGATATCATAGAGCGAAGCACTCGCTTTGCCATTAAATATTAAGAAAAATTAAAATTTCATTGGTCCTAGCCAAGTTCTGCAAAATGGGTCATGACCTTGTCGATGAGGTCTGCTTGCAAATGGTGATTGAGATCCACGTACCACGAACGAGTGCGTGCTTGAAACGCCAGCAATTCTTCTGTCGGAGTCCATTCTCCCCACTCACCACTAGGACGTGTCGATACATTATCTCCATTCTTGTTCACTTTCTTGAAATATCGGTTCATTAGCCGTGGGAGATCTCGTTTCCAGTCACTTACGAACAATACAGGTGCATTCAAACGGCGAAGGACCCCATGAACGTCTTCAGGAACGCAGCGCCAGGAATCAGGGTACGCCGGGTGATAAAACACTCCAGGAGGTTGACATTGTGCTGGCAGCTCCTCCACTATGGGGATTGATCCAGACGATAACGCCTCCCAGATTCGATATTGCTCTGGGTTCTTGCCTAGTGGACAGATCGTGAACACTGACTGCTGTAATGTGGACACATACGCAGCTGGTGCGGCGGATAGATACCAACGCCAAGCTGTACCCAGTCGCTTGTCAACAGCCTGTAGAACCTTGAACAACATGTCGTTGTGTTCGACAACACAGCGTCGGGAATTGGCACGTGTATCGTGTTCTAAATCCCCGCATACTTGCAGTGCAGCCATCATAGCTTGCACTCGTGTCGGCTTCTCGATAGTCCAACTTACCATTAGATTTAACAGATACTTACGTCCGATACCAGACGCAAGAGGAGGCGGTGGATTGAGGTGGTGAGCGTTCAACGGGAAGCCATGCTCGAAGCTGGGTCCTAGTGGTAATGAGGTGAATCGTTTGCCGTCCACTAGTGCGCAGTCGCCGTACGGAATCAACCCGAATTTGATACCTGCGTTGTTCAAGAAGCGTTCCGGGTTGGGATTGTTGCAGCTTTCCTTTGATAATGCGAGGAATCCCACACGAGGTTCAGGTGGAAGCGCGTTGTTCTCGAAGAAGCGGTTGACACAATCTAATGACTGTGCTGACACCAATAGATTGCTCATAGCAGGCAGACTTCGTAGCTCTTGTGCGTTGTGAATCATCCGAAATTCCAGATTCAAAGTATCAATTCTGCGAGTCCAAGGTTCATTGAATGGTGTCTCCACACGTGAGTCGAAGTAAGGTCCGAGAAGACTGTGCCACAGGTAGGGGAATAGTGTGATCACATCTACAGGACGTGCCTTGACAAAACCCGACGTTACGATCGCAGTTGCATCTTTGTTGCCGTCACCCGACGAACTCGACGCCGTCCAGGACTTGGGTAGAGGCTCCACAATGGGGATCATTTGATCCGGATTCAACTCCAGCACGTGATTGTAGTCGAAAGGTACTACATACACTACAGTCTTTTGAGTTTTTACTTCTTTGTGTTGCTTATATCGTTCAATGGTTGGATCCAATGTCCGAAATTCCGTGTAGGCTGCCATGGCGTCGCGAAATTTGCAAGTGTTCATGATATTTACTGGCAGCTTGTGCGTATCCTGGAACAATCTCTTTCCAGTATTTTCCAGTGAATACCATTCATACGGTTGCTCCACGTACGATCCGGTGCGTAGTTTGAGCACAACTGTAGTGGTTATAACATTAGCCAGCGCCATGAGCAGCGTGGCAATCGCTGAGCGACGGGCAAGTAGCTTCCACTTGAAGACATGGACGTCGCCTTCTGCCTCATCGTCTTCTCCTCCGGAACGTGCTGGCTTAAGATGGAGTATTACTGTCCCCTCTTCTTCTTTTACACTCTCCACAGAGTGTCGTCTTGTGGTCAGTTCCGGCACGTCCTCCGATGTCCTGCGATCTCTTGTGATAGACGCACAGTCGGTAGTATCATCCTGATCTACTGGACGGTAGTGTCGCCCGTGTCTTGGTTGGGTTGCTTGCTTGTGCTGATAGGTCCACCAACCCAGCATGACAATGATCTGGAGCACCACACCCGTGGCCCATATCCACAGCAGCAGCGCCACAGACGGGTACATGTGCAGAGCATTGGGCATGGTTACAGCAGGTGCTGAGGCTCTTAACGTCGGCGGAAATGCACTGGTATTGTGCTGCAATGGTCGAGCGATAATGCGCGATGGAAGTCGAGCAACTTGCTCAGCAAGCGGCGGCGTCGGCGGCCGCGTGAGTGGAAGAGCAATGAAGAAACGGTGGCAAGATAGGCTGGGCACTCGCTTCTCACTAATACCAAGTGTACACACGTCGCAGACGAGCTGAAAGGAGTTTCGAACGTGACTTTGGCCAATTAGAAATGGGTACATCAGTTGACAGGCGAAAGTGTCTAACGCCCCAATGCAGATACACCGGTAGAGTCCAACCAAGACGTCCAACCTTGCTTTCAGTTTCTGTTGCTTTATGATGCTGTGATGATCGATTAAGTGAAGGTCAGCCGTTGAGTTGCATCACGAACACAAAGAAATCAACGATTCTCTTGTATTCACATCAAGGTTCCGCCTACCAAACTATGGAGTTTACTTGAAGAATCCCTTGCGTTTGTAGCCCTTGTGCTTGTAGTGTCCGTAGCCGTGACCATAGTGTCCGTAGTGACCATGTCCGTAGCCATAGCCATGTCCATAGCCGTGGTGTCGATGACCGAAGCCTAGCAGGCCACCTAGTCCTCTGCGCTTGTAGCCCTTGTACTTGTAGTGATGGTGACCGTAGCCGTGGTGATGGTGGTGGTGCGCATGGTGCACACCTGGCTGAACAACGTAGACCGGTTGAGGCGGCGGAGCTGCATACACAGGAGGGGGTGCAGCAGCGTAAGCCGGAGGAGGAGGCGGTGGGTAGGCCGGAGCAGGATGGGGGTAAGCATGCGGGGCCGGAGCCGGGTAGGCATAGCCCGGAGCGGGAGCAGGTGGGTAAGGATGCTGCTGCGGTGGCGGAGCTGCATGCGGGTACGGCGCCGGCGCTGGAGCTGTCTGGGGAGGGTACGCAGGCTGAGCGACAGGAGGATGTTGATGCTGCCCTTGTGGTGGATAGCCTGGAGCAGGCTGTTGCGGTGGCGGCGCTCCTTGAGGAGGATAACCTTGCTGAGGCTGGCCGGGTGGTGGCTGCTGGTTGTGCATTGTTAATACTGCCTTCTTCTTGCTGCTGAACTTGTGTCGTGTCCGCTTGATGAACTCGCGGGATTTTCTACTGTGCACGATGTGCAACGTTCAGACAATCGACTAAATTCGGACTCAGATGGTTAATTTCTGATTCCACCAAACGGTGGACGTTGGTGGACTCTTCCAGTCATGATGAGACCTGCTGCGTGAGTTTTATGCCGACGAGAACTGGCCCCTGTGTCTTCCTGGTCGACTGGAGGTGCTGATGGAGCAGGGTTACTCTTGCTCCACTCCTCTTCAGACGACGGCGCGGATGGCGCTGGCGACTTCGCCATTACAGACTGCTGTGCTGTCGGTGCGTTCTGCGGCGAAGAGTGAATTTCTCGTGCCGGCGCCGAAAGCTTGGCGAAATGTGGAGAGTTGGACGAGTACAATGGAGGTGGAGGAGGGGGCGGTGGTCCGTAGCAATATGGAGGAGGCACAAAGTGCCAATCCGGATGCGATCCAGGTGAACGTAGTGGTTCTTCGTGTCGCCGGTGAAGTAAATTGTCTGCGAAGCGACTGAAGGTGTGCAGATCAGGGAAACGTGGAGACCTGAATCCGTAGTTTGAAGGATGGCGACGGCGACCGTCGCGCTGAGGTCGAGGGAGATTCATGGTGCTAGCTAGAAACACTGAATGATATCGGGCCTTGAGTGGTTTGTAACTTGTTGCGAAATGCCTCACGCTTTGATACTACGAATCGGTACTCTAACTGTGTGACACCTCGGATTCAGAAGTGGCGCCGAGTTTACCCACAGCTCCATCATTTCAGAGCCACCGACAAGTGTGTAAATGTTTACCTACGATCTGGGGTTTGGAAAATAAGGTTTATTGACGAATTTTACAGATATGTATTGTTTCAAGTACTAGTAACTGGGTTACTACTGTTATCTCACCAACCGTGGTGGTGGTGGTGATGATGATAGTGTGGCGGGGGCGGCATGTACTCGTAGTAAACGGGTGGCGGGACTTCATAGATCACTGTTGGCGGCGGCGGAGGCGGCGTCGCGTACACTAACGGTGGAGGCGGTGACGTGTACACCACAGTAGAGGGGGCAAAGTACACCGGAGGCGGCGGTGGGCCATGGTGATGGTGTCGCGGCGATCCTGGCCAGGGAAACATTGCTCTGTCTTTTTTGGTTGTGGCTTGAAGTTGACTTGAGCTCGAGGATGTGCGTTGTGTTATGAACGTTTTGGAGAACAGTGGTGGGGTGGAAGATCACGCTCATGGGACATGCCAATATCAAGCTTCGTTTACGAGCTTCAACCAGTTGTCCACTCCGTGGGGCTCTGCGATGGCAGAAAAAAGCCTTACTACAAAATCATTTCCTCCAGACACTCAAGACAGCAGAAAAGCAGACGTATTACATGTAGTATGCACTGTGGACACCCAGAATCCCCGCACGGAAGACATCCGCCGCCACCAGAACTGCCAGACCTTCTACATGTTGCTCAGTCATATCGCGTTGTCAGCCTTGTTTCTCTAATCTAAAAAAATAAGTTTACGAGCGTGATGAGAATTGAGCACACCATAGGTATAGCAATCGACAATCAGAACGGTTTTTCACTTGTGAATCAAATAGAGAATCAAATCTTCACAGGAGTTAGCTGTTGCCAACAAACTGTTGGGGGCATAATCTGTCCGCTAGTACGTGGGTGAAGATTTTGCTGGCACTTCGTGCAGATCCTGGATACTCGGCGTGGATAAATTATCTCAGATAAGTTGGCAACCACAAAGACTGAATCAGATTCAATTGTCGACGGTATGCTTGAGCAGCGGAAACGCATCGATCATTTCCCAATTTACAAAGACTCCGCGACTTCAGCAGCACCGAAAGAAAGTTCAATGTTCGGCCGACCGCACTCGCCCCCGCACAGCCCACGGCACCACCATCACAGTCCTCCTCCACACCATCATAGTCCTCCACCTCCCGATCATCATCACGGCCCCCCTCACCACCATAGCCCTCCGCCACCCGACCATCATCATGCACCTCCTCCTCACCACCACGGCCCACCCCCGCCAGGCCACCGCGGACCCCCTCCCCCGCACGGCTGGTAAGCTTGGTGATACTTGAAGAGCACGAAGATGACGATAACCTGAAAAAGAAATATCGCCAGCTTTGCCGGAGAGGTAGACGACCCATAAGAAAATATACGACCTGTACTTCGCCACTTGTGCTCTACCAACATACCATAAAGAAGTCAGAAACTGTATGTGTAAATGATGCTCTGAGTCTGACTCAGACAGCAAGATCACGTGCGATATGCTAGATTTGTCCTTGGAGCACAAGCAGGAACTTAGACGATAACTCATGGCTTGGTGGACAGCGGTACAGCTTTTTCAACAGCAAAAAACAAAGAGATTTTCAAGAACAGCACGAACTTTGCTGTTCGCACCATTACGCAAGGCAATACCGCCGGTCACTTTCCTCCACCTTCGATCTACCTGCTACCTTCATGACACCATCATCTGGGTCACAGCACGGGCACTCCAACGAAGCTGCGTGCATCCCGACCGAACATCCTACTTGAACATCTTTTTCATCTTCTTGCCCATTTTCTTGAAGCCTTTACCCTTGTAGCCTTTGTACTTGTGGCCCTTGAACTTGTGGCCTTTGTGCTTGCCGTGCTTGTACTTGCCGTGCTTCATCTTGCCACCGGCGATCACAACGCCAGGCTGCGCGACGTAGGCGGGTTGCGCGTACGCGTAGCCGGGCTGCGGTGCATGATGGCCGTGATGGCCGTGTGCGGGGTAACCAGGCTGCGGCTGTCCATGCGGAGGGTAACCAGGCTGGGGTGGGTATTGCTGGGGTGGATACTGCTGAGGCGGGTAGCCTTGCTGAGGCGGGTATCCTTGCTGAGGCGGGTATCCTTGCTGTGGAGGGTATCCTTGTTGCGGGGGATAGCCTTGCTGCTGTGGCGGGTAACCTTGCTGGGGCGGATATCCAGGCTGCTGTGGGTATCCGTGCGGGGGCTGGCCTCCTCCAGGGTACATCTTACCTCGAGATCTTGGGGGACGTTGAGCGAAATTGCGAATGACGACTTGAGAAAACACCAAGTTGTACCTACGTCGGTGTGGCGCGTTGATTGGCTTAATAGTTGCCGGCTTGCAATTGGTGCAAAATGTCGCGTTACAAAACTCCATTATTTTTTTTTAATATGGATTTTCTCTTACGATCAGGCAAAAATCCGACACTTTTCGTTGGGATATCATACTGCTATTATTAGGAAAAAGGTTGAGAAGCAACGCGTACATAGAGATGACAATATTCTAAAATAGTGAAAAGGCACTACCACAGGTAGTTTTCGAGTTACGAGTGACTTACGGTCAACAAAAGAAAGATTTTTCGTACTTAAAAGTGGTAAACTCGTACTAAAACGCGTGAAATAGCTTCTGTCCCAGTTTTGATTATTGAGAATAGAAATCGACAAAATGAAACAATCTGACAGCATTGTGCACACCTCTTGAAATCCGCCTCGTTGCGCAAGATGCGCCGTGTTACATTATAAATGAACTTTTCTTTTGGCGAAGCTATCGAAACCTCTGATCTTCATATCATACGATAAGCTCGTGTGGAAATATTATCCGCCCACGGCGGCAACGCTGAAGGTTCACTACCGTCGGAACGTCATCACTGACGACAGCAGCGTTGAGCTGGAGACGATGATCCTCGACGAGAACTGGCCAAGTTTCTGGAGGTTGATCATGTCCAGTTGATAGTGGACTTTCAAGTGACGAATTTCAAGGGAGGGAGGCGATCCTGCTGACGCGCGACTCGATCGAATGGCAGCTCACCAATGGCGTGTACTATGCTCGAGTGACAGGATTCGACGAACTTCCATCGTGTTATGGTTGACGACACAGCTTTCTAGTTGTGGTAGCACAATTTGTAGAAGTCGACACTGTACGTTAGTCTAGCTTGATTCTCAGAATCTGGCTAATGAACATTCTGACTTGTGGCTTGGACTGAAGAAGACATGCAATCTAGTTGGTGATATATTCTGTTGTGGCTAATGTGCTGGCAAATATGGAGGTATCTGAAAGATACACGATTTATTTAGCTGTGCCCTTTTCGTTATCCTATTCAGCTGGAGATGAAGATTCCGTTGTGCGCTAAGAAGGAATGTCAGCGCTTAAGCACTATGACAGTGAACCCGACAGTGGAAGGCATTTTAAAGGACATCGATGACTTTCTAGCTACAGGGGTTGTCGGAGATTATTCAACAAGTCGTATTAGCAACTATGAAGGTTGTACGGACCCGGTCCGGACGAATGAAACATGCAGAAAACACACAAGTTGCGCCGAACCGGGGTGTACAAAACGCGACAGAAAAAAAGTATACAACATGGAGAAATGCCAACATCTTCATGCATGATAGAGGAATGTGCCAAGTCAGCACGGACTAGAGGTTTGTTGTCGTGTAGGAACACGTCAGAATTTTGCGTCTGCTTGGTACTCCCACCCACAACACACGCTAAACCCGCAAAGGCTCAGCGAAAGTTCGGGCGAAGTTTCGACCTGAAGGCCTTGGCTCTGCCCTAGCACCGGGTTGATGATTATACCCTGCGCGCTCCGACTCGGCCGGTAGGTCCACCGATATCTTCAAAGCAGCGACTAGTCCACGAGCAAAGACTAGGCTGCTGTCACGCACACACTAGCAGTAACCTTGCTGGCCCTCAGTAGGGAAGGGTCCAGGGCTTGTTCAGCCGGTAAGCGAGGGCGGCCGGAGCTTGGGTCTCTCGGCCTGATGGTAGTATCGGAGGCCCTTCTTTGCTGTCGGACGCAGTCTCGTCCTCAAGACTTCGGCACAGCACACGGTCTTCTCCTTCACGTCTCTTGGCTTTGCCGGGGTGGGCGAACACGTTGATCTTCTCAGCCAGCGCGTCAATCAGCAGACATAATCCTATCGACCAAGCTGGACCTGTCGCTACGGTCACTTATCGCAGCCGGACTTGACTTGTGCGATCGGGAGGAAAATCTGCTCTGTTTGTTGCGCACAAAGGCAATTATATTCTTATCTACTCTTTCCTATGTCATATACAAATATCTAGTGTGAACTTGTCCGCTGTGGATGAGATCTTGTAACCAACGAGGTTTCGGCGACTGTTGGGCGAGGTCTCGAGGAGTCGCCATCCGGATACCATCCGGATACGACCAGTCGTGTCCAACGGCCAACCAGTGGTGTGCGCCACACTGCCTCGTACTAATGACTGTCACTTCACTGCGGGATCTGATGAGCCAATCAACGATCGGCCACACATTCCACAAATCGGATCCGTGTCAGTCTCCAACGGCAGCAACTGTCAGGACGAGTGGCACCACACCTGAGTTAACGACACATCTTAGGTGGACGTTGCAGTACAACGGGAGTCGTGCCATCATGTTCGGGTCATCATCTGTTCTTCAACTGCAACCTGGCGGAACACAAAGACGTGAAGCACGAAGCCAGGACAGCGCTCGCCAAGAGTAGGAAGGTCGGAAGCGCTGATGTATTTCTTTCTTAATTGTAAACTCACTTTTCATCTTTCCAGCTACTTCCCACATCGACTCAAGTCTTCCTCGCTACGACCGAAAAGCAACAGCAGCGGCGAGGGTGCCTCCGATTCTGGGCGCTTCCCGACACCACAACTGCCCCCACCGCGCTGCAAACCACCGCATTGGCGAGCGGCGCGGTGCCTTCGTGTCCAGCTGCATGTCCAAGTCGTCCCGCACTCTCGACGAAGACTGCCGTGTTGCCCTGCGCTTTGTCTTTGACTCCAGTTCGGCTCCAACGGTAAGATACTGCGGTTCATCACCTCTAACTGCGTGAGCACCTCGTACTGACTGCATGGATCGCCCTGATGCTTCTTGTACTTCGTTGTCATGCAGGATTTGACTGCAATGCTTTTTCGAGCAGCCCAACTGTCGTGTGAGGCCTCGTCCGCGTCAGTGTCGACTCCAGCAGCATCAAGAACCATCTCCACGGTATGTCCTCGCACTTTTCACCTTGCTAACAACTTGTTCATCGTGTGGTGGTGATGTTCTCTCTGCCAGACCTCAGCATCGATGCCAACGTCGTCTATGGCCCCAAGTTCGGCAATATCGGCTATTCGGTGACCAAGTCGGCTCCGGCGGTGTCGCTTACCACGATGTCGAGCGCCAAAGCTCCAGCGCCAGCTTTTAATCCATCAGCAAGCTCCAGCGCGATTGTAGAGTCACATCATCCCTCGGCAAATACTGCCGCGTTCTGCTCCATGGGTTCAAAATATTGACTGAAAGCTTGCTGTTGTTGTAGGCGGCTATACCATTGCACCTTCCAGCTCCGCGCCTATCTGAGATCGAAGGCACCGCGCTGCATGGGTTGCTGATGGACGCTGTAGAAGAAACTTCGGATCGGATCGTGGCTGTTTTCGGCTCCCGCATCACAGAGGCTGTACGATGTCTTGTACAGTTGATGATCAACCCACCACAACCAGGAGACCCAGTTCGTAACCGTGCTATTGCGGCCGCTGCTTTGGTCGACGATCTAGCGGCCGCTGTAAGCAATCCTGCGTCGTATCCGCGAGATCTCGCTGCCGAAATTGGTGACCTGAAAGCGACGCTCACCGATGCAAGGCTCGCCAAGTTGATAGCGACACACTCGGTCGGCGAAAAGCAGCAGAAGCTAACTGATCTGGAAACTCGGTTCATGCAATCTCGCGCCAACTGTTCGTCTCTCGAGCAAGCGCTAGCCGCAGAAACCAAGCAGCGCATCACTGCAGAAGAGCAAATTACCGCACTTGCCTCCGAGGTGAGGGTTCACGACGAAGTCGTCCTCAACATCCAGAAGGCCCTTAAGGCTGCCAACGAAGCTCGAGCGTCGCAGTCCCGCAAAATCAACCGTGACTGGCAGTTGTATCAGAAGAACCCGCGGATCTACGCTGACAGGCTCGAGCGCTTTCACAGGTACCTCACTGAACGCGGGCAGAGCGTGGAGAATTTCGACCAGAAAATCAAGAGGAAAATCTTGAAGGACGAGTTGAGAAAGGTTCTCCTCGTCAACAAATATCTTCGCAAGTTCGTCAACGACCGCGACCTCGACCCAGATGCTTTATTGCTGTTTGCTGAAGGTGGGGCTGACTCTTGTGAATCCATTACGTAACGCTGAAAACTTGCTCGCTCATTCTTGACAGACGGCCGCAGACCTCTGTCCCAGCGCCGGCTCTGCCAGCGGTTGCCACAGTCCAGTATCGGCTCCTGTGACTCCTGTGCCAGCTTCATCGACGCAGAAGTCCACGCAAGTATCACAGTCACAGCCACCCACTGCAGCTGCTGCTTCTTCGCTTGCATCACTCTCTCCAATCGTCGCTCCGGCTCCGTCAGCCTTTGCCTATGCCTCCGCTGGCAGCGTTGCTGACTCCCGTAGATTTGGCAGCCGCTCAGAGTTCGTCGCCTAAGGCCAAGACTACATCTCAACCTGCGCTTAATCGTTCGAGAAGCTCGTCATCCGTGGCTTCTACTGTGGATATATCGCCATCTTCGCCTGAGATATCGTCTGCGGCATCTCCAGGTCCCAATTCAGCTCCAGATTCGTCACAGAACACAGACAACCTGGATTCTACGCTGCGGTGGTCTCCTATGGCGCCGAGATCTCGCTCCACACGCACGGCGGCGGCGATATCACGATGGGTGACTTCTCAAGTCATTGCTCAGGAATCTGACAAGAGCTCCGTCTTCATCGGGGCTCCTGGCCAGACACCCCCAGCGAGCCCTCGCGGAGCCTCCGATGATGAACACGAAGAGTCGAAGGAAAACGAGTTGCCATCTGGTTTGCAACTGCAAGCTCTTGAAGACACGTCAAGTACCGGCGTCTCGTCACGCACCAGGTCCGCTTATCGTCCGATACCCATGTCGGCTCTGGGTCCTTCGCATTCAGCACCGCCTCCGGCTCCTGTACAAACCAGCGTCGAACCCGTTGGGGGTGAGGACTGCACGGCGTGGAGTGAAGCCACACGTCGTACTCATGGAAGCACTGGCCGCCGCTCACGCTCAGCACCAGTGGTGGTGAAGCTCCCCGCTCCAATTGAAGGCTGGCAGCCTCTCATGCAGCCGTCTAAGAAGATTCCGGCCAAGGTGCAGCGCTACCTCAAGCCCAACTTCCAGAGGAAGGGCGCACTGAGATGCTGGAATCTTGTGCATTCCTTCCGCACGCCGCTGCCAGTTGTAAAAGGACTAGTGGCTGCATGTTCGGTCGAAGGAATCCGGGCTTTCGCTGACTGGACGAAGACTGAACACCCATGGCGCATCGTCGACAAGATGTTTCCGGACGTTGCCAACTCGTTTGACGTGAGTCCGTTCGTGCCAGACGTCTTCGTCTCTTTCCATGCTCCCAAGAGAGCACGTACCGTGAAATTATGACGTCAAACACACGGATTTGACGTTGGTGGCAAGGAAAGCGACGTCGGGTGGGAGCGAGGCCACTGGGTTGTTCAATCGGAGATTGAGGCCACTGTCAGACGTCTTGCAAAAACCCACGGTGACAGTTCGAGCACCGTCAGAGATGTGACTCGAGCTATGGATGCCTACTTGTCTGATCGCAACCGTCGTGCCGACAAATTTCGTAACAAGATAATGTAGCTTTGGGACTGGTGTGTGGACAACGATGTTCCCACAGAATTCATCCTCTAGCCAACGATACTGTGGAATTCGTACGAGGTGTTGCCGTGGATTCTAACAACAGCTGATTGGTGTTCAGAGGTCGCTGCGCTGGATGAACGCGAGCCATGGCGCAACTGTTGGATCGACGTTCCCAACGAGCACCCATTCGACGTGCAACGTCAGCACTGAACTGTTCGTACTTCCGCGGTCTGACTGAAGCGGAGGTCGGCCGATCAGTCGTCGTGGACGAGAAACTAGCAGCTACGGATATCTCCATCATGGCATCAATTGGTATCAATCTGGTCTTCAGACAGCGACAGCACGGAAGTGTCTTCAGCAGCAGAGGACGAAGATCAAGACATCGAGGAAATCCAGTCGTCGCAAGGTCTTTACGCACTCGCCTCCGCTGCAGCTTCGGCGACGCTGTAAGTCTCGTTCATTCGTATAATTCCAGGCTTGTCGCAGTTTGTAACCGAGGATTAGCCGACGTAACTTGGAATATTCATATCTTTCTCGTAATTCATATCCATCTCGAGAGTTCGTTCACAATTATAAAGCATGCCGCTTGGAGTGCTCACCGCCGTGAGAGGGATGTCCCTCTCATGCATCAGG